CCCAATCAAAGCTTGGAGAAAAATAGAAGAATTGAGAAGAGAAAAAGCAAGCAAAAGCAACAGGTAATTTTTTCCTCTTCCTCATCAATCTCCCAGCCAAAAACATCTCATGAACTAATCATCATCTACTCAAGCTTCAACAAGCTAACAATGTTCGTGTCATTGTACGAGCTGAAATTCCGTAGTAGTGATGGTATTTCCTTCTTCATAAGGCTTGATTTTGTGTATTAAATTTCCTACTATGTGAAGAGCACATGGTGTGCTTGACTCCTTTGTGAAGAACACATGATGTGCTTGATTTTTTGTTTTGTGAGGAGCCCATGTGGTGTCCTCATTTGTGTAAGAATGGTTGATATAACCATGATATCTAGCAAGCTTTCATTGAAACATGAAATGAGTGAGCAATCCTAGAAGTTGTAATCTTAAGTTTTGGCTAGAGGAACACAAGGAAGAAGACATAGGTTTATGCAAAGCCTAATCATTACAAAAGTATGTCTCTTCCATTTGATTATCTCATCTCTTCAACTCATAAGCTCACTAATCAAGAGCTCTGCTTAAGGAAATAAAATAAAGTAATAAATATACTAATAAAAAAAAGAAATATATTAAAAAAATAAAAGAGATATTCTCAACCCCCCATTCTCTATTCCAAATCATATAAGCTCTATTCCAAAAAAAAAACTTATATGATTGGCCACTTAAAGTTTTAAAATATAGAAGAGAAAAGTGAGTAGTGTTGAAATAATAGGACTAACTGAAACACCAAGAAGAGGGTTAATTAGGGTTTTTAATATTTTTTTTAATTTATGCTAAGACCTATGTGTATTTAACATTAAATGTGTTGACACATATGTAGTTCAATGAGACCTTTCAACTCTCTCTCACCTAGAACACAAAGATTTTTATATTGGTTCATGGTTCATCCAATTACTTCTAGTCTCAAATGAAACTTATCTCTATTACTTACTAATTTCCTCAATAATTGCATGCTAACATTCATGGACGTAGCCACCCAAACATCTCAAGTTCATCTCCTCAGATACTCAACTCTTTATACAACAAATATGGTTATTAGCACCTCATACTTTTTACCAATGTATTTCTTCCCTTACCACTAATTACCTTAGAGCTTTATACAAGTAAGAGGAGCCATGATAATGGTATGGATTGTTTTACTTAAATTAGTTGGAGAATAGGATGTAGCTTTCTTGCATGTTGTTGGTGTGTACAGCTAGAAGAGTTTGATGTTCTTCTTTGAATATTCAAGTGTTCAACTAGTTTTTGATGTAGAAGTCTTCTCCCATAAGTTAAAGTTCATCTTTTAATATTTTTATAATTTTACCAAAATTTTCAATAATCAATAACTGCATTCAAAGGTTACTGATTTCTAGAACACATGGTAACAGCCTTTGAACCTTTAATCTTCAAATATCCTTATCTCCTTGTATTTTATCATTCAAATTTGAATAGAGTTTCCTAACTTGACATAGAACAGCTAAATGTTCAGAACGGATCTAAATTATGAAGTTTATTATAACCTTTGTTTCCACATAAGTAGGTGATGTGTCATCATTGAGGTGCTTTATTCAAAACTTGAATTTTTTTTCATTTTTTCACTACTTGATGATTTAATCCGTATGAAATTTTTTTTAAAAAATTACATCATCATTTTGAAATACTAAATACTATGTAATGTGGTTAAATAGATAAAAACAAGGGTGACATAATTTTCATCATTCAGTTATACTCATTTAACAATATATTTGTTGTTCCATTTGTGGATGATTCTTCAACTAATATTATTTATTGATCAAATATTCATAATGTGAAAAATTATTCAATCTTAATTTTCATATCTTGCATTTGATCATTATTGATAAGATAATATAACAATAAATATATCTCATATAAGGACTATTGAATATGAATATTTAAGACATATTCAAGATGTATATAAATAATCATAAATATTCAATAATTGTATACTGAATCAAAAAAATTGGCTTGTAATTATCAAAATCAAGGACATCAACAAAGAGTTCCTAAGTTTGGCTACAAATAGCTCTAAAATTTATGAGACCTAAAAATGTCAAGTCAAATGGAGCTGTGAAATCTGGTAAGTTCTTGAGCTTGTAGTTTAGAGTATCCTCATTAAAAAGTTGACTAGAACTTGAGGGTAGAGTAATTTGATAATAGATGTAGGTCAGGAGGATTAAATTGTTACAAATGTTTGGTGTGAATATGTTGATGATAATCACTTATGATTGCAATCGTGGGTGAAAAAAAACAAAAAATAAAAAGTGATCAATTCAACCCCCCCTCATCTTGATATCGTATAATCTTTTAGGGCCAACGAGTTTTGGGTGCATTTATACTGACTTGGAGTCATGGATCTATAAATGTCAAGCTAATAAAATCAGTCTTTTGTAGGTCTACAAATGCAAAGATAGTAGGAACTAGGAGTGACCAGTCTGGACCGGATATATTTTATTTTCGACTTCCCTTAGGAAATTGAGCACCAAATATCATTTGCCCAGACGGGTCCTCGACGAAGCGGCGAGCTCCGATCGTGTCTCACTTTCAGTCAAGAATCTTGAACTGCAGCGACAGCCATGCGTGGCTTGTCGCCATCACGAGGAAATAAGCTTTCCTCTTGGACGGGATCATGCATATGAGCTGCACGTGGCGTATTATTGCTCTCAAGGCCATACTTAAACGTGTACCCCACAGGGGGGGCTGGGTCCGGGCCCGAATTCGGCCCGGTCTTGACAGCGGAGTGCCCAGCATGGATACTTGCCTGGTGGAGACCCGGCGATGAGAGGGTGGGGGAATTGGCAGAGAGACAGCCTTTTAGGCCGAATTGATGATGCCCCGAGTTGGGGTGAATTAACCATGTTCATTGACGCCTTTGAATTAAATGGCCCAAGTTAGCTTAGTCATAGAAATCAATTTAAACATATGGTCAAGTAGAGTAAATTAATTTAACTCATGATTGTTTTTGCTTAGTTAGACTTATGGTTCATTGTGGGGAAAAGGACAGTAGACAGACGACAGCCAGAAGAAGAGATCCAATTTCAGACCATCTTAATGAGCCAGGGGCGGCATCTCCGGCTAGAAATGATGGGATCACAGGATCTAATGAGGAATCTTCCAATCATGAAAATCAACTCAAGTCAGCAGAGAATGGTCAATCAGAGCCTCAACCTTTAAGATCAACCCTTCCAAGAAGAAGTGCCAGAATCAGGGTTCTTCCACCTCGACGAGTTCATCTCCAAGTCAACCGGCACTTTCCTCCCCTATTGGATTCAACATGGAATATTGGATCCAGGATCAGTGGGTCCCTACCAGCAAGCAAGAGGATCTATCCACAATGAATGGCCCAACAAGAAAAAGAAGCAGAATGGGAAGAGGATGTCATCCTCACGTCCCTCCTCTCCTTAAAAGGGGGGTCATTTTCAACCAAGAGGCGCCACATGGCATCTCTTGGGAAAGGGTGTCTCCGTCACCCCTTCTCTCTCGTTCTCTCTCCATTTCGTGGAAAACCACCGCTCTTCCTTTCCCTTCTATAAATGCTCAGACTCTGTTGTGTTTGAGACAGTGATCTAGAGAATTAATCAAAGTTTAACTTACTTTCTTGGATTAGAGGGTCGTCTTCTTCCCCATCTCACCCCTTGGACTGGGGGTTCCACACCTCTTGTCATCGCCTCTTGGATTAGGGGCTACCCCTTCTTCTCGCCCTCTTGGATTAGGGGACCTCCATTTCTTCCTCTTCACATCGTCCTCGCCATCTTCCCCGCCACCACCATTCTGCCTCCTCGCCATTCACCCCGACGCTGCCGTTCCTCCTCCGCGTCATCTGCTCCGTCGTCGCCACTGTCCCGCCTCCTTGCAGTCCGCCCGTCGCCACCACTCCCCTTCTCACCAGCCACTTTGTCGCCGTCGTCCCGCCTCCTCGCCGTCCGCCCCGTCGCCACCATCCCGCCTCCTCACCGTCCGCCTGTCACCGCCACTCCAGCTCCTTGCCATCCACCCCGTTGCCGCCCCCTGATCTCTCTCTCCCCCCGAAACCCTCTTCCTTCTCTCTCCCACGTGGCCACGTCCCCGTCCTTTTGTGTCTCTCTCTCTCTCTTTCTCCCGCCGAAACCCTCCTTCTCTCTCCCGCCGTCGCCATGTACCCCCTCATTTTCTCTCTCCTTCTTCCTCTCCCGCCGTCGCCACGTACCCCCTCATCTTCTCTCTCTCCCTCTCACCTGTCGTCGCCACGTAACCTCATTCCTCTCTCTCCCGCCGACGCCTCTCATTCCGCCCCTTTTCTCTCCCTCTCACCCACCGTCGCCACGTACCTCATTCCTTTCTCTCTCCCTCTCTCTCTCTCTCTCGTCGACGCCCTCTCATTCCGCCCCTTTTCTCTCCCCACCCTTTTATTTATTATCATTATTATTTTATGCTCTTATTCTTTCTATTTCTCATTTAAACCTTTTTTTCTCTTTCTTCCCTTATATGTTTTTGAATTATTTAAATACTTCGTGGTCCTCGACTACCCCACCCAAACCTCCCATTTTCTTGAAGCATCACCTGATAGAAATTCCTCAACAAGGGTCGTGGATCTTAAGCCATTGGAATCAACAAAATCACTCTAGAGGTTCCTTTGGCAAGGTACGTTGATTTCAATTTCCTTTGTGAAGTGATCATTATTTTTAAATCTTTGCGATCTTAATTATTGAAAGTGTGGTTCTTCTCAAGTAATTACGATCTTAATTTTTTTAAATCAGCGGGATTAGCCTACTCGTAATCGTCCTTAATTAGTCAAGAGTAATCTTAAATCCCAACCTTCTATTCGGTACTGATATTTCTCTTTGGTCCCGCATCAGGAACAGGATCGTACACCACAGTAGAACCGTATGCCGACGAGATAGCAACACACTATAATAGCAAATTATTGACAGAATTGCCGACTACCACGACACCTACAACGTCAACACATCGATGATTGCCCGAAATCAGACCCTTTTCTCGACATTTACCCTCAACCCATGCTTCATGTGGAGGATAATGGAAAGACTGGGGACCTCGACATGACCTTTCACGACCGTAATGTGGAATTTGTGGAGCAGGTTGGCCGCCACAACCTTCAGCTGGGTGAAGGCCATATCCTTGCCGAGGCAGATTCTCGGCCCGGAGTTGAAGGAGAGGAACTTGTACAAAGGCTCGTGCTTCAGCTTCCAGTCGTCGCAGCAATCCTTCCCCCAGATGCCTTCGACCCTTGCCATAACGTAGAGAGGTATGACTATCTTCGCCTTTGGATCGACCTTGTGACCGCTGGGAAGGACGTCCGGCCGCGCGGCGCCGTTGTGTTCGAAGGGGACGGGAGGAAACAGTCTCAGGCTCTCGAACAGGGCTGCCTCCAAGTAAATCGCTGAGCTGAGATCGTCGGCTCCAAAGACGACCGGGTCGACTTGGCGGGTCGACAGGTGTCTCTTCCGGCCAGCATCAAGTTGAACTTCGAGTCTCATAGGAACTTCTTGGAACGGACGGTGTAATCATCGCCATCGGGTTGAACGCGTAAGTACGAAGTTAGCAAGTCCGTGGAGCCTGTTCCTCCTCCGTACCCTTATCTTGCCTGACCTTCGCCACCTCGTCCATCCTCTCTGAGATCCTGCCGGTTATGAAATTGCAGATGGTTTCCGACGCCAGCACCATCTTCTTCTCTTCCCCCACCTGTAGCCACCGCAGGAGTTTCCACCACCCCATGGGCACAGCCTGACGGAAGAACAGGACCTCCTCAGCGTCGTCCAGAGCATTGGCGAAGGGCACGGAAGGGAGGTCAGGAGACAGGCAACCAGGGTCAACCCCGAAGACCAAGTTGCAGGTGGTGTCGAAGGTGAACCGGAGGAACACGTCCTGCAAATCCACCACGGCGGCGTGCTCGGCGGCACGAGCGAGGAGAGGGATGAGAACTTTCTCTACCTTCTCTCTGCTCACCCTCGCGACGAAACGCCAGAACCTGGGCATGCGAGAGTTGGCCACCTTCCGTTGAGTCTTCCAGGAGTCGGAGTCAGCGTTGAAGATCCCATCGCCGAGGATGTCGAAGATCTCTAGGAACTGGCCACCCTTGGGATAGTTGGCGAAGTTGGCGTTGAAGATGTATCTGATATTTGCCGGATCGGAGGTGCCGAGGATGTCCATGCCGGAGCACCACGGCCCCTTGAAGAAGAAGGTGCAACCAGATTCCCTGAGGACCTCGGTGGTCCAGTCGTGGAAACACCAGGTACTCTCTCTCCCTCTCTCTCTCTCTCTCTCTCTCTCTCTCTCTCTCTCTCTCTCTCTCTCTGATTATTGAGAGCTCATTTCTAAATTCAGCTTGAAGTAACCTCCCCACTCCAGTTGTCGTTCCGCACGTGCTGCGGTCCACTCCGATGGCAACAACGGGCACGTTGTCCACGTGGGACATGCATCTTGAAGAACAAACAATGAATTCTCCACCTCTAGGATAGAAAATGAGATCGAAGGGCAATTTTTTCCGCGTCCCACGTAAATTTCTTGGCCGTCCATGGCCTGATCAATGAATTTCCCAGTCCAGCAGCTCCTACTAGGCGTTAATTTTTGCCTAAGAAGCCCCAAGATGTTACTAATTTTGCAACTGCCCACACGGCCATCTTGTGTCCGTCAACATGCAAAGACACCACCATCATTGTCAATTTCTGAAACAAACTTGCTGATCGAAGATAATGTTCTCTTCGGCCGCTGGAAGCAGTTCCTCTGTCAGGTTGTCGCTACTTTTAATATGTCCTTCTCCCCAATTACTTATTCGATACTTTTTCCATGAAGATATAAGAATAAGAAGTAAATTGGCAATTTACCAATGTTTTTCTCTTCATTCTCATGATTCATATTGAGTGGGGCATATAATTTGCAGCATTGTCTCCAACCCCTTTTAAAAATAAAATATGGATAATGGAATAATTTTTGTGGGAAATCAAACATGTTGTGTCCATTTTTTGAGGTAATTTGTACTATTTGAGTGGCTACTTGATGGAAATTTCTCCACGCTATAATTACCTTCAGCAAATCGTTAGCAAAGGCACATTTTTGTTAGATATCAGTCTTCAAAACATGAAATTTATTGATTGACTTATGTTGAAGTATCATTTATCTATAAAAGAACCCAACATTTCACTCAAAGTTGAAGCATATCAATGTGTTACTATTGGTTCAGAAATGTAATTAAGAAGAAGTAATTACAAAGTAGACATGTTGACTAAGACTTTGCCTAAAGAGAAACAATAGGTTTACCGACAACTGATTGACATAGATGCTCTTTGAGGAACACGTGACAATCTCTCTTATGAGTTGAAGGGGGAGGTTATTGAGCTTGTGGCCCAAGTCTTTAGCTCATATGACTGTTGTATAGTAGAAAAAACAGACGATTTACATTTAATGCGGAAAGAGAAGGTCGTGTCCACAGGAGAACCAATTTATCTAGTGACTGATTCTCATAGACCCAGCAGCCTCTATGAGCAGACAAAGTCACAAAGAACAGATATGGTTTGAGAGGAAGACAAGAAACTGTTGGCACCATTTCCAATGTGCTTGTTATGTACACTTCTCGAAGTGTCATATGGTGGCTATACATAGAGGGGCCCTTTTCTAATTTCATTCTTCAATACATTCTCTGGTATCTTTTATTTCACAACTATTATCCATATAGAGAGAGTTTGATTAAGTTGATAAGTGATTGGTGAGTTTGTTTGAGGGCCAAGATCAGATATTATATCTCTTATGTTTTTTGAAAGTATTCTTATGTACCTCTTTCATATCTAATGGAGTTTTTTATCATCGCTCATGAATATAAGAGGCTAATCTCTGAACCACATAAAATTTATGTGTCATCTTGATCGTGAGATGTTTGTTTCTTGTTTCCTTACTTTACAGCTTCCGCAAGTCTATATTACACATTTTACTCTGACAAAGGCATACACCGCAGAAGAGGTTTGGAAAGCATACCAATAGAGGTCAGTTTATGGAGAGTCTACTACTCCACCTCTCATGGTGGAGGAAGAGGAGGAAGAGGAAGCAAGCCGTGGACAAGAGAATATCTCGGCAACCTAATCCTAGTTTCCTCAAACTCATACTTATCCTCATCTCAATCAACGGCCTGATTCTTAGTGAAGAAACTGGGATTTCCAGTTCGAGGTGGATAATATTTGCACCAAGTACTCTCTCATCATTAAGACCTCATTTATTAGTTCAGGTAACAATGTCCTCTCCGACTGAGTCGCCATCTCTCTCTCTCTCTCTAACTATTATCAGCTGATTTCTAAATTCAACTAACACTCGTATCTAATTCAGTCGCCGTTCGGCACGTACTGGGGTCCCCTCCGTTGGCAGCCACGGGCACGCTTCGCACGTGGGACATGCAGCTCGAAGAACAAACTCAGATTTCTTTCCCTCCAGGGGAGAAAATGAGATCGAATGGTGACTTTTTCCATGTCCCCCGTGGATCTCTTGGCCATCGGCGGCCTGATCAATAAACTTCCTAGTCCAGCGGCTCCTCCTACCAGGCGTAACTTTAGGCTGAGAAGCTCCTTGATGTTACTAATTTTGCAACTGCCCTTGCGGCCATCCCCGTCGTCGTCCCGTGTGGGCCGGCTCAGGAGAGCCCGCGGGTTGGGCCCGTCCGTATGTGACCTTGGGCTTAAGTTTCAGCGTGAGCCGTCTTCACGGCGCCGAGTCGGACCCCGGGCTTGAGGGGGCTAGAACGGCGAGTGGGGCATGTCCGAGTCCTAGGATGAGCTGTTGCTTTAAATGCGGTCATCCGACTATTATTAATATAAAATAAATGTTATTTTCTCACTCACGATTAGTTAAAAATATTGAAATAGGGGGAGGGACACGCTTGGTGAGGGAGGATGGTCGTTGAAATGGTGCATGGTGAGTGGGAACGTGCACGGAATCGGTTCGCCCTCGAATGGTATGTCGGAACGTAGTCGTCCTCTGTAACAAGAGAGCTCTCTTCGCTTTGTCAATAAAATATGAAAAATGAAAGAATCTTTATGGGCAATCGAACATCTTGTGTGCGAAATTTTGAGCTAATCTGTCCAATCTGAGCGGCAGCTTGATGGAAAATTTTCCATGTTATTATTACCTTCAACAACTTGTTAGTAGTCCGATTACACAAGCATATGATCAAAAGCCTCTTTCTGTAAAAGCTCACTTTCTTTGCATATCAGTCTTGAAGATACGAAAATATGTTGAGAAGGTTGACCCATTTAGCGGCTCATCTCAGCCCATCCAAGAACTATACTGATTTAAGGGCTAATCCTGTAAGTACCTCCTTTAGGGTTAAACCTACTTAAACCTAAAGGAGGAGCCCCCGTCATGAATGAAATTCCTCTCTCTCTCTCTCTCTCTCTCTCTCTCTCTCTCTCTCTCACACACACACACACACACACACACACACACACACACACACACACACACACTCATCCCCAACAAAATATATTCTTTTGTTGAAGAACTTCCTTATGAAATTTTATAATTGCAAGGATGTTTACTTTCCAAAGCACCATTTTCCAGCAAAGTCCACCGCCATCTTTACTCTTTGGTCTCACAAACGAAGACATCACTAAAAAAGAAGTGGAAGAGTAGCATCTACTCTTCCACTAAACAAGAGCCTATTATGCCACATTAGGACCGCATCTTACAAGATAACAACATGCAACAATTGTAAACTATCGAGAGAAATCTCCAATTCCACACTATCCAAAAAGAACGTCAAGACATCCATGATCGCCGGAAATCAGACCCTTTTCTCGTCACTTACCCTCAACCCTTGCTTCATGCGAAAGATAATGGAGAGACTGGGCGCCACGACATGACCTTTTACCACCGTGATGCTGAAGTCGTGGAGCAGAGTGGCTGCCACCACCTTCACCTAGGTGTAGGCAATATCCTTGCCGAGGTAGATTCTCAGCCCGTAGTTAAATGAGAGGAACTTGTACGAAGACTCATGCTTCAGCTTCCCGTCGTCGGAGATCCACCGCTCCGGTTTGAACTCGCAGCAACCCTTCCCCCAGATGCCTTCCACCCTTGCCATAGCGTACAGAGGTATGACTATCTTCGCCTTTGGGTCTACCTTGTGACCGCTGGGAAGGACGTCCGCCCGCGCGGCGCACTTGTACTCGAGGGGAACGGGAGGGAACAGCCTCAGGGCCTCGCGCAGGGTTGCCTCCAAGTAAACCGCTGAGCTGAGATCGTCGACTCTAAAGACGACCGGGTCACGGCGACGGGACTCGGGAAGACCCGTTATAATTGGCTTCAGCTCATCGAGGATCTTCCGCTCCACATCAGGACGTTGGGAGACCACCCAGAAGAACCATGTGAGGCCCGTGCCAGTAGCGTCTCTTCCGGCCAGCATCAAGTTGAATATCGCGTCTCGTACGAACTTGTTGGAGCGGAAGGTATGATCGTCGCCTTTGGCTTGACGGCGTAAGTACGAAGTCAGCAAGTCCGAAGTCTGTTCCTCCTCCGTACTCTTGTCGTGTCTGAGCTTCGCCACCTCGTCCATCCTCTCTGCGATCCGCACGGCTAAGAAGTTTTCGATGGTTTCCAACGCCAGTGCCATCTTCTTCTCTTTCCCCACATGTAGCCACCTCAGGAGCTTCCACCAACCCATGGGCACAACGTGCCGGAAGAACATGACCTCCAACATGTAGTCCTGAGCGTTGATGAAGGGCACGGAATGGAGGTCGAGCGACAGGCTGCCCGGGTCCGCTCCAAAGGCCATGTTACATGTGCTGTCGAAGGTGAACGGGAAGAATATGTCCTGAGCCACGTCGGCGTGCTCGGCGGCACGAGCCAGGAGAGCGACGATAAATTTCTCCACCTTCTCTCTGGTCAGCCTCGCAACGAAACGCTGGAACCTGGGCTCACTGAAAAAAAAGTGAGTCATCTCCCGTTGACTCTTACAGGACTCGGAATCGGACTCGGCTTTGAGGAGCCCGTCGCCGAAGATATCGAAGATCTCATGGAACTGGCCGTCCTTGGGGTAGCTGGAGAAGTTGTCGTTGAAGATGTATCTGATGTTTGCCAGATCGGAGGTGAAGAGTATGTCTATGCCGAGGCACCACTGGCCCTTGAATAAAAAGGTGCAGCCGGACTACCTTTGCATCTCGGTGACCTAGTCGTGGAGACAGTGTAGACGGGAGACGAAGCCGGGAATCATACCCAATACAGGCCACTTCGTAGGGAGTCTGCTACCCCGCCTCCCATGGCGGAGGAAGAGGAAGAGGAAGCAAGCCATGGACAGGAGAATCTCTGGGTAACCTAGTCCAAGCCTCCTCAAGCTCGTACCCACCCCCATCTCGATCAGCACCCTGACTGTTAGTGAGGAAACTGGGATTTCCAGTTCGAGGTGGATAATATATATACACCAGGTACTCTCTCTCTCTTTCTCTCTCCTCTGTGATTTTTTCTCATTTATGAATTCAACTATTACTGTCTTCTCCAATTCAGTTTCTCTCTCTATGTGATTATTGTGATTATTGCTGCGGTCCACTCCGCTGCCAAGAACGGGGATGTTCCCCACGTGGGACATGCATCTCGAAGAACAAACAATGAATTCTGCCCTTTTCGGGGAGAAAATGAGATCGAAGGGTAAGTTTTTCCATGTCTTGGTCGTCCGTGGCCTGGTCAATGAATTTCCCGTCCAGCAGCTCCTCCTACCAGACGATGACTTTTTCCTGAGAGTCCCCAAGATGTTACTGATTTTGCAACTGCCCTCGCGGCCATCTCGGCATCGTCCTGTGTAGCCCGGCCCAGGAGAGCCCGCGGGTTGGGCTCGCGTGATGTGGGCTTGGGCTTAAGTGTCAGAGTAGGCCGTCTTCACTAGTGGGTCGAGTCCGAGTCATTGGTGGAGCTGTTGCTTTAACATAAAATAAATCTTCTTTTCTCGCTCATGATTAATAAAAAAAATTAAATAGGGAGGGACACGCAGTGGAGGATGGTCGTTGAAATGGTGTTTGGTGAGTGGAGGCGCGCACGGAATCGGTCCGATCTAGAGACGGCGGTCCCCACCGCAGTTCCCGATTGTCTTCATGGGCCCGGTTTCTGGGCTGTTCTGATCCTGAAGAAATCCATTCTCATCGGGCCGCCTGGCGAGGGGGTGAAAGGGGTTTTCTTGACGCCAACTCTCTCTCTCTCTCTCTCTCTCTCTCTCTCGCTCTCGCTCTCATAGCTGTGCAGCCCTTGGTATCTGTTTCTTGAAGCTTCAGCTCGCTTCTGGTCCCGCCGAGGCAGGTCCTGCGATCCCTCGCGACTGAGTCGAAGGGTTTATGTGTCTAATTTTGTTTGCCGATTGCCGTGCGCATCGAATTTGATCCTGTTTCGAATCGCGAACTTAATTAAGCATTCCTTCTTAGTCGTGCGTGGGGTAAAGGAAAGAGATTGATGGGGCCAAGGAATTTCTCTCGGTTATTCGATGCATTAGCTTTGATCAACATGTTTGTTTCAGAAATTGACGATGACGGTGGTGTCTTTGTATGTTGACGGGCTTTAAAATCAGGTATTGCAGGTGGCGGGACGCGCACGTAGTCGTCGTCTGTAACAAGAGAGCTCTCTTCAGCCGCTGGAAGCAGTTCGTCTGTCAGGTTGTCGCTACTTTTAATAAACATGTCCTTCTCAGCAATTACTTATTCGACACTTTTTCTATGAAGATATAAGGATATGAAATAAATTGGCAATTTACCCAAGTTTTTCTCTTCGTTTTGATGATTCATATTGAGTGGGGCATACATTTTTCGGCATTGTCTCCAATCCGTTTTAAGAATAAAATATGAAAATGGAATAATTTTTGTGGGCAGTTGAAGATCTTATGTGTATTTTTTTGAGCTGATCTGTACTATCTGAGTGGCCGCTTGATGGAAAATTTTACGCGTTATAATTACCTTCAGGAAATCGTTAGTGAAGGCACAATTTTGTTGCATATCAGCCTTGAAAATATGAAATCAATTGAATGCCTTTTGTTGAAGAACTTCCATAGGACAAATTTTACTTACAAGGATGTTTACTTTCCACAGCAGCCTTTTGCATCAACCTCTACATCCATCTTTACTCTTTTGTCTCACCACAGAGCTGAGATTGAACCTCTCCTCTTGTGCCCCATATTCTTGTATATTCGGGTTTTCTTTCACTTTAGCATGTTGGAGTTGAACATATCAATCAATTTCACCCTCTTTCAAACTTATTTATAAATGTGATAAATGTACTTATTCTCATTCCAAGAGAAATTTTATAATTGCTGGAACACTAGACCAGGAGAACATCCTTGAACCTGGCTATCTTTCGAAAATTCACTTTCCTCCCATCAACCTGCTGGAATTTGCAAATTGCTACTGCAAATTCTGTAGTATGAAGATTTTATTTCCAGATTAATGACGGAAAACATTTTGACAGATCAAACTTCGATTCCTTCGCACTCCTAGTGTAGGAATATTTAGTTATGTCAATCCACAAAGAGCTACCCTCTCCTCTTCTCCATAACCATTTATCAAGCATTATTGTGGACAGATCCTCAACAACAACTATAGCTACTCGTATTGATCCGCACAACCCTCGTATTTCATCAAATGGAAACCATTTGTACCTTTGTGAGCCTCAATACAGAAAGACTTTCGTCTTATTGTTTTAATATTGTTCTCAATGGTTTTGGTATCTTAGTCACATGGTCAAACTTGGAAAATACAATCTTTGACATCATCTTTTTCCCTCCAGTTAAAATAAGATTGGCCTTTCACCCTTCTAAAGAAGAATTAACTTATCTAAATGGATCAGTCAAATATTTTACGCTTACTCCCCCTAGAGATATTATTGAAAGGGCATATCCCTGCTTTCCCCTCCCCGCTCTCCCAAGTAGAAAAGTCTGTATATTTATGCTTCTCTTCTCTGAAGCGTATCTAAAGTCCCCAAAACAGGCTAAAATATTAGAACTCTGTATTTCACTAGTTTATACTACCATAGAATGTTTTGACTCTTTGTGGTGCTGTCTTGGTTGCCAAAGCATATTTTAGTCTGTTTTGTATTTCTTCGTATGGAAAAGGATAACTGATGACTTCGTTTAGATTTTCTTAAAAAATTGTCTAGCAATAACATCATTTTTCTAAGCAAACAAGAGGATCCATCATTCCATTTAAGAGAATATGGTTTACCCTTGAGAGCAATGTGTATAAACACCAAGTTAAATTATTTCATTTCTTGGAACTTTAGTAGTACGTAGGATTGAGATATCTTGTTAGAAATAAATCACTGTATTTCAGATGGTGTCTAAAAGTTATGTGAGATACAGTAAACTGCAATGTCCAACTTACACATTACGACTTGCAATTAGCTTAGGGCATAAAAAATCTTATGTGAGTACTCCTATAACCGGCTATGTATTTATATCTCTGTATGAGTTGATAGCGAGTCGTAAGCCCGCTTAACCTTCAGGACGTAAGTACTGTGTGCAATCTAAAGCTAGTCATTTTTATGTTACTGTTACGGTACTTATCTTGCAAATTTACTAAATCCATATGCACAGGGAATTATTCATGTTTCCTTTCTTTTGTGGGACCAGATAGAATTGACCGTCAAGAGCATTCTGGAGATTTAAAGCTCTGAAAATGAGTGAACAAAAAGTGAGGTAAGTGACTGACTTCATTTGATGGAACAAGGTTTTCAGGATAAATGATGTCAATCAGTCGTTTCCATTTGTATTTCTAGCAATGCCCTTGGTGTTTCTGCTAAGTTTCAGTGAATGGACGATCTGGGAAGACACGAATAATTATTACCTCCGGTCTCCAATTTCTGTATCAACGTGACACATATAGATTCTTATAAATTGGGATGGAGTTCGGTGTTGAGGGTCTAGGAAGTATATCCTTCTAGCTTCCTCCTTTTTTGCCCTGCCACTGTTCATCCTGCTGGGGCTTGTGTGTGATTAACGTGGCTTTGATCCCAATGTATTTTGGAAAAAAATCGGCCAGTGGTAGTTAGAATATTACTAGAAAATGATCACACTTGATGCCTTTGAAGCAGTGTCCTCATTTTGTTTGAATTGGGACTTTTACACGCTTTTACCATAACCATATGATCAATCCATTCAGATATCTGGATCCGATACGTTTTTCAGAGAATTGATGTGGACCAAGATCGATATCGTTAAGGTTTCTGAATGAACCTCAGCCCGATGGTAGTAGATGTTCATTACGATTAATATGAGAGGTTACATGAGTAAGACGACAGTCCAATGCCTCGTTTTTAAGTGACCCATAGTTTTAAATATATGGAGGCCATGTTAAAATGAAAAATAGTTGATAAACAAGTTAAAGTTATAATTACAAGTGCATATTCGCATAATTGTCACAAACCCCATTAATTTTCAATGTAATAAAAATAATTAGTACAATAACAGTCATTCTAAATAAAGTTATTTTGGAACATTAATCTTAGATAAGCAAATAATGTGTTACTGAATATGTGATTGGCTGGATGTGTTTCTGAGCGCATGATCAGCTTCACTCTCGTGTACAGCTAGATCCTTTGTCAAATGCCTATCACGGACAAGAAAATATAAGGTTGTTCATGTGGTTAGCTTGGTGACACTTTGACTGAAGTTGGTAAATATCGAGAGATGTTTTGGTCATTCATGTCGATGAAGAAATATGCATTTTCTTTTCATGAACCTTGATGACTTCGACCTATTTTATTTGTGAGGTGCTCTTTTTGGGGTGTTTCTTGTAAGGTGACAGTTCTGTGTCTATTTTATTTCTTCTTTTTTTTTTTTTTGAAGGAAAAAAAAAACTTTTTTTGTCCGTAAGCTTTCATTCTACCTTACAATGTCGTTTCTGCGATTTGCCGACAAGCTGTTGCGGGCTTTCGCGTGAAAGATTTCCTCTTCCCTCCATGTTGTAGGTGCTACTTAGCCTGCAATTCTTATCGCAATTAATAATAATTTAGCACTATTCATCATCTGTCAACCTTACATTCTCCTAGCTGTCCATTCATAACCTTTAAAGAGAATATGTCAGCCTCCAACCCATTTTTGTTTACATGGCCATGATGGAGCATCATGGCTGTGTATAAGGTGGCAGACATTATTTATTTAAGAAATAAATAACTTAAAGTTAGAGTTCATAAATGTGATGTTTTATTCATGTGCTCTACGGTTTGACTTGGGGCTACCCAGGTATTGATGCCACCATGATAGATTGCAATAGAACATCCCCGTAGGTCAACAAGTAATGCTTATTGAAGCCATGTCAATGAAGAAAGCTTTGCCTGAATGCTTTGCCGCATGGAATAATGTGCACTTTCATAATGGACAAAATTCTTAGGGTTCTGAGGTTTATTTTTCTTTCATCATATTTTATTGATGCGGCAGCATACTTTGTGTTGATGTCTAGGTCCCGGGTGCGGTGGAATGAGGCCAACTTGAATGATATTGAGGCAAACAAACCAATAAGACAGAAAATAACTGAGCCCAAGACACCGTACCACCATATGACGGATGATGATGGTCTGCTGCAGTCACCTGTTCATTGAAACAATCACTAATCGCCCCTTGGTTTTTCTATTCTACGCCCAGTTGGATGGGTCGCATCAAGCTCATACATTTAATTATTTCAGGCTCTACTTCAGCAGTTATGGATTTTGATGAATGCATGGCCGACATTGAGCGCGCAGCAGCTCTGAAAAATGCTCTGAGTGAGATTGCCTCTTCCAGTAAAACACCTTCTGGGAGGAACGGGGGTTGGACGTCCTCTGAAGATGAGCCCGAGACAATGGAACAAGATGAAGGTCGGTTCTTTATTCAATATCAGTCGTTTAAAAATGAACCCAGCAGGTTCATATATATATCCCTTTCCTCTATGCTTCATGTTTCTGTATCTTTTCTGCTGGCATCTTCCGTCTTTGCAAGAAGAAAATCGCTACTCCATGGATAGATAACAATGGCCATGGAGTAGATAGATCGAATGGCCGAAGGGCAAATCGTTCATTCCTTGCAATTACGAAACGACGGAGGGAAACTCTCAGGCCAATGCTAACATCCGGCGCCTTCCATTCCAGATTCTGAAGGGGAGGGGCGCAGCCTGAGCTTCAAGGAGCACAGGAGGGCTCACTACGACGAGTTCCGGAAGGTAAAGGAGCTTCTCGACCAGGGGGCACTTTCAGACAGCGACGAGACCGGCGAAGCCGATGATAACCGGCGAGAGAACAATAATCGGGTTGCGACCAATTCGGCGTCCTCCGTGACCAGCGGCGTGCGGAAGATCGACCTGAAGGAGCCCAGCCGGCTGCCGGCTCCGCCCAAGTAGCCTCTCTCTGGAGAAGCAGCTCTCCGAGGGAGCCTTTGCTTTTAGGCCTCCATTTCTCTTGGGTTTCCCTTTTATGTATTCATTCACAACTTACGGCTTCTTTCGTTGATGAACGGAACTCCTTTGGACTCTCTCCCCCTCTCTCTCTCTCTCTCCTCTCTCCCTCTCTCTCCTCCCTCTCCCTCTCTCTCCTCCCTCTCCCTCCTCTCTCCCTCTCTCTATCTCTGCCTCTCACTCTCTCTCTCTCTCCCTCTCCCTGCCTCCCTCTCTCCCTCTCTCTCCTTTGGACTCTCTCTCTCTCTCCCTCTCTCTCCCCTCTTTCCCGTCACGGTAAGATGGACCGGCCCGACTGATCCAACGGGCCCTAAAAGAGTACGGGCCCGATTCCAGGTAAAGTTAATTATGGCCTTTCATGTATGGCCCATTATCCATTAAAGGCGGGGTAGCGGGCTTCGGAGGCTGCGTTCCCGAAGGGATAAAGAGGGATCGTGGACTCCTAAGAGAGAGACCGTCGAGGAGATGCAGAATCAAGGTCTGGTTCACCACCTGGTCTCTCCCCACTCCTCTTCTTCCTCCTTCTCGGGCCTCAGCGTCCCCCTCCATTGCTCCGGTTCCAGAGCGTTGAGGATTGGCAGAGTCCGCTGCCCGCATGGCTCCTTTGAGCTTCACACTTCTTCCAGATTCCTGCTTCTGACGCGGAGTTATCCTCTGTGCAGAAGAGGTCATGTCTGCTTTTCGTCCTCCGACGGCAGCGTCTCCGGGGACGTATCCGATGTCCGTGTCAAGGAAACGGAGATCGAGTTGCTCGGGAAGCCGTCTCCCATACACTTTCTGGACGAAGAAGAGTACGAGGCCTCCGTAGGGACGAAACCGGCGGAGATGGACGCCGCGTTGGCTCCGTTTCTCAAGTTCTTCAAGGCCAAGGATTCGGCGGAAGAAGACGGAGTGGAAGGCGGGGCGGTGCCCGTCAGGGAATCTCCTGAAGAAGAGCGAGATGAGGAAAAGGGAAAACAAGAGGATCTGGAGAAGGTGGCCGTAGAGTACTATGATCCGAAACCTGGTGATTTTATAGTCGGAGTCGTCGTATCGGGGAATGAGAACAAGCTTGACGTGAGTATTGGGGCGGATATGCTGGGTACTATGTTGACGAAGGAAGTTCTCCCCCTTTACGAAGGAGAGATGGCCCGTTCTCTCTGCGATTTGCAGAAGGACACAGAGGACTTCATGGTTCCGGGGAGGGTTGGAATTGCGAAGGACGAGGAAGCTTTGAGCGGGGAATCAGAGCCAGGTAGGCCAGTCGTTGAGGTTGGTTCACTTCTTTTTGCTGAGGTCCTTGGCCGAACATTAAGTGGTCGACCGCTCCTTTCCACCAGAAGAATGTTCCGCCGGGTGGCATGGCATCGAGTGAGGCAGGTCCTCTTCCTAATCACCTTCACTAGAATTTTATTTCATTTCATGACTCATTGAAGAAGCATTAAGGTTTTGATCGCCGGGGTTATTTATAACCGATGAACATCTTGCATTACTCAGAATGAAAAAGTCAGTATGCGACCTGCCAACTTTTCAACTAAATTTCACTGCTCCAAACTTATAATTTGCACTCTTTTGGAATTCTGCCCAGTGCAGAAAAGAACTTCTGAGTGGGTAATTATCGAAAGGATACAATTTCTGAATATGATGCTCGGAGGCATGTCTTGTATATGGTCTGAGACCGAATATTTCTTTAACTATACGTCATATGCAGCATCAATTGTTGCCACAAATTCCAAAGCTATTTTTCGTGTCAATAAAATATATTCAAGTGAAGTTAAATTGATTATAGGGTAATCTAAATGGTTGGGATAATGTTCACAGTGGGATGTAAATATCCACCAAATTACTCTGTACACAATGCTACTTCATTGGTCTATAGTTTTTTACACTTTCATTCCTTGTTAGGTTTTTTGGTTTCGTAAACCATATTCCACCTATCGTAATTCTCCTCTTCAAAATCTCCTTTAGTGATTTAGTTCTCGTTATTTATTTATTTTTATTTCTTCTAATCACCTTCTGCCCTCATTTTTGATGTCTTAAAGTAATTGCAAATTCACGTTATTTACAAAACATTCCTTTTTACGTTAATCATTGAATACATCTTTGTGATACCTTTCCTTGCAGGTGAAACAACTTGGTGAACCAATCGATGTGATAATTACGGAATGGAACACTGGTGGTCTCCTTACAAGAATTGAGGTTCATGTTCATGGAAGTTTTCTTCTGCTACACAAGAAGACATGTTTAAACATATAACATTTACAAATTTTTTCTCTAATTTTCAGGGTTTGCGTGCATTTCTTCCTAAAGCTGAGTTGATGAATAGAGTCAATAACTTCACAGACTTGAAAGAAAATGTAACTCTTCTCTTTATCACGGTCACTTCTCTATGATTGACTTGCCATATTAGTTTACTTACTTCTTTATACTTTTACTAAATACTGTCATTTTGGCTCCTTCCATATTGAGTGTTATTTGCATGTGCATCTCCTATGTTAGAGGCTAGTAATATTAATAATTGTTCCTTTCGTTTATTTTCTTGGTTAAGGTTGGTCGCCGTATATCTGTGTGCATCACAAGGATTGACGAAGAGACGAATGACCTGATTATAAGCGAGAGAGAAGCTTGGGTCAGTTTCAATATAAAATTTGCTATGATGTTTCTTGTCTAATTTTTCAGATACGAGTTGTACTACCCTCCTTGCTCAAAAATGACTGCAGTAACGCAAGGATCAGGAGAGTGCAGCCAATATTGACACCTATACATTTTCTGTGGCCTTATTTTAAAAATTATTTCGGTTGTACCCCATTCCATTCCTAATTCGCTGAAAAGTCTCTTTCCTTTGACATCCCATCTTCACATATGTCAGTAACCCTGGCAGTGTCTGTTGAAATTACTGAGACATAAACTTTACCTTGTTTAAAGTTTATTATATATCTATGTATATATTACCCTTATCTACAATGCATGTCTGTCTCTCTCTCTATCTCTCTCTCTCTCTCTCTCATATATATATATGAGAGAGAGAGAGAGAGAGATATAGAGAGAGAGATGAGTAGGATCGCCAAAAGACTAATATAGCTAGCTCTAAAATGTCAGTTAGATGTGAAGCCTTGGCAGTGCCAGATTATATCAAACCAGTATGTGGTAGGAACAGTGGGAGGAGGTTCCCATCCCTTACTGCACCATATGTTGTCATGTTCAACATTGAAAAAGATGTAAAGTTGACCATTTTATTTCTAATTCCTTTATTTTCCATCAAGAGTTCATAAATTAATGATTTCTCTGGCGGATGCTTCATAATATATGCCCTTAATTTGATGTTAAACCCTGAAAATTTATCTTCTTGATCTCATTTCACATCATTGCCTGTTCATCATTGGAAATAATAAGACGGCAATGGCAGGAATACCGGTGAACATCTCATAATCAAGACTATTCTGTGGTTTGTTGCTGCTAGTACTGTATACAGTGACAAAAGCTCCTGCTTTTAGTTTTGGGAAATAACCTCATTAGCTCTTTTTTAATCTGAACTCCACACAATGGTAATCTCATGTAGTATAGAGGTGACTTGAATGAGTAGCTCATCACAGTTTTACTATTTTTAAATTGCGTTCTACAATTAGCTGTTTAACTTGTTTTATCATCTCCACTTTTCATAGGGAGGGAAGCAATTATCATCTGAACTGTGACTTCCTTGTCCTGCCAATCTTTAAGTTTCTTGTTACAACATGCAGATTTGACATTTCCGTATTTTTTTGGTTTTGTGTGAGCAATACACTAATTTTGTGTTCATAACGATCCGACATCAAATTAATCATAGTTTATTCTTCCTTTTAGCAATTCCTTGTAAGTTTCTCCAATAAATTTTATTTTTCCCTCTTACGGGTTCAGAATTATGAATGTGTGATACTACAGGACATTCGACATCTTCAAGAAGGAACTCTCTTAGAAGGAACTGTGCGCAAAATTTTTCCATTTGGAGCGCAAGTAAGAATTGGTGAGACAAATAGAAGGTACGTTCCTCAAATTTTAATCACAGCAATTATGCTAAAAAAACGTCAAAGAATATTGATTTTTCTGTCTTCTTTTCGTGGTTTATCAATTTCTGTAAACCACTTAATGATCAATGATGGAAAATATGATCAATTATGCCTTTAGTGAACCATGTTATTCAGGTTTTTCTACATAGGATCTTGATTTTTGTTGAACGAACATATGATACCCACCAAATGGCTGACTCATTCCTGGGAATTTCATTGTGGACCATTTGGTTTAGGGATACTTGGGTGATGACTGGTAGCCAAGAACTACAGTGTCACCAATGAGGAGTATGTAAAACACCGATATCAAAGGAACGTTCGTATGGTTTATTCATCACAAAGACCTGATAAATTGATGACACAGCAGCAAGAAATTATTTTTTCCCCTACTATGCTGCATAGAATCTGAGAAAAAGGCATAGCTACGTCTCAGGGAAGTCTGAGAAGCCGAAAAGCTTAAACATTTAAGGATCTCCTGCATTCTTCTTATTCAAATCAACGGCAGGCATAATTATATTACTTAGTTACCACTGATATAGGAATCAAGATCCTACCACTGAAATCATGTAAACATGATTTTGATGTCTGTGTTGGGATCACCCTGCAGCGGTTTGCTGCACATCTCGAACATATCTCGTGCCCGCGTTGAATCCATCGGCGACTTGCTTAAGGTGGACGAGAAAGTGAAGGTCCTTGTCGTCAAGTCAATGTTCCCCGACAAGATCTCCCTCAGGTAAAGCCAAAAACACGACCCTCTGTAAATCACACAACGCAACTCCGAATGGGACTTCGAAGAGAAGGAATCAATGGCGAAGATCAGGATTACATCTCTCTGGTTTATTTTACTTCCATCTGAAGAAGCCCTTCTCTGATTTTCAATGCAGCATTGCGGATCTTGAAGGCGAGCCGGGGCTATTTCTCTCGAACAAAGAGGTGACTACCCAGTCTCGCCGTGGATTCTTCCCGCTTCATGGATCTCACCCTTCTCCGCCTCCCCACCTTGCAGAGGGTCTTCTCTGAGGCCGAGGAGATGGCCAGAAGGTACCGGCAGAGGCTGCCCGCCGTCCCCGCAGCCTACAGAGTCAGATCCCGCCCGCTGGACTCGCTCCCCTTCGACGACGAGGCCAGATTGTACGCCAACTGGAAGTGGTTCAGATTCGAAACCCATCGAAGAGGCCCGTCACCCGGAGAAGACGACTACACTCCATGAAGGTCAGTTCTCTCCTGAGTAAGTAGCTCTTCATAGCGGTACATAGCCCTTGCTTGAAGTGGAAGAGAGATATCTCGGTTCAGAAAGAAGCTAGACACCACGTCTGTCTATTCATTTTTTATGTTAGAATATAAGCTAAGTTAGCCCGTTTGTTTCTCTCTCTCTCTGACCCTAATACCATAGGGTTTGCGGCTCCATGGCCTATTTTCTCTCTATCTATCTATCTATCTATCTATCTATCTCTCACCGGACCATCCGGGCGCCGCGCCGCTGCCTCGCGGCGGCCAAGGCCGTCTTCTTTTGGAAGGAATAGTTTATATATATCCAACAACTTGAGTAATCATGAGCACACACAGTTTTCATTTTCGGGGACTATTTTCTAGTGCCGGGCCTGATCCGGGTCCCGAAATCCTGGCCCAGTTAGTAAATTCTTCAACCCCGATAACAAAATCGGCCCACGAAACCTGGCCCCAAAATCGGCCATACTTCAGCGGGGGAGAAAAGGTGACGAAGAAGAAGAGCGCCCCCCTCTGCTTCCCAGCAGAGCCAACTGCCGCCGGAGCCCCAGGCGGAGAAGTTGTGAGCGATATAATCCCTCGTTACTTGCTCCGTCAATGGCTATGATCCCTCGCCTCCTCTGCCTGCTGCCTGCTGCCTCCCTTCATAGATTATGAGCCCAGGGCCCCGATTCCCGAAACGCCCCCACCAGTTCTCCCTCGGTAACCCAGTCCTCCCCACCTCCTCCTCCATCTTTAACTGGGCAGATGGCAGGCGACGCTCGACCTGTTGTTTTCACCCCCCACTTCCCCCCCCCCCGCCCGAAGAAGCCAAAAGCCCTAATAAAATCCCTCTGCATTCACGCCGGACCCCCTCTCCTTAACCTTTTCCTGCCTTAATTAAAAGCGGCAACAGAGGGATTGCGATGGAGATCTTCTTACCTTAGCTTTCGATTGAAGCTGGCGATCGCTCCACGCCGAACTCTTTTACTTTTCACGCTCCCCCAAGCGTCCTCGCGCCCCCCCGCGCCCCGCCTCCCTCCCTCCCGCCGCGTTGTCATCAAGAAAGAACGAGCTCTCGCCTTCCCTAGGCAACGAACGAGAACCCTAAACTTGCCGCTGCTGCGCTCCTCCAGTAGATCTGCTCTGCCAGCGCTTGCGGAGGGGGGTAATGGGGGGAAGGAGAAGGCGTGGAGGAAGAGGGGTGGTTTCGGGATTTGTGGCTTTGGGGAATGGGCGTGGCAATCCCAACCAGGGGGAGGGGTGGGCCGTTATTGGGCTTTCGGTTTCACAGGCCCATCTTTGGCAGGTGCGAAGCTCACCCAACAGTGAAAGTGAATTAGGGCCGTTCAATGAGGATCCGACGAACGGGCGCACTCGGGGTAGACGGTTACGGATTGCTGTCTTCTTCCCTCTTCGGTTACGACGTACATGTGAACCCCACGCCCAAAGGGAGGATTCACAGGGTCTAATGGTACGTGGGCTTCAACCATTGGCCAGCATGCCTCTAGGGACGTTAGATTTTCCTGTTGCGGCAGCAGAGACTCTCTCTATCTCTATATCTCCGTCGCTAAATCTCTCTCTTTCTCTGTACTCCCAAGGTATTCGGGTGCGAAGATTGCGACAGGTTAAACCCGAGTGCAGTGGCCGGGTGAGGCGGCGTTGGCGACACCGGGCGGCGCCACCGCTTCCAGCCACCGTACGACTATTGGGGTGATGCTCGAGAAACCTTATTCTCCCCCGATCAGTCTCGCTCTTCCGTGGATCCTCCCCGTCGCCGGAGCACGGACCTGGGGGACGTTCGGTGCCCGTCAAACCCCCGGCAGTGCCATCTCCCCCGGAGTTCCCTAATGGAGCAGATCCGAAACCAGATGAGAAGAACTGCCGTCCTCCGCCTCTGCGCTGTGCTGATCTTCCTCCTCCCCGTCACCATCTCCGCCATCTCCCCTGACGGCACCGCCCTGCTCTCCCTCTTGGCTTCCTCATCCTCGCCGCCGCCGCCGCCGCTGCCCTCGTGGGACGCCTCCCTCGCGACGCCCTGCTCGTGGGAGGGGGTGACCTGCTCACCGCAGGGGAGGGTCATCTCCCTCGCCCTGCCCAACATCTTCCTCAATCTCACCGCGCTGCCACCGCAGCTCTCCTCCCTCACGTCGCTGCAGCTGCTGAACCTCTCCTCCGCCAACATCTCCGGCGCCATCCCGCCGTCGCTAGGCCGCCTCTCCTCGCTCCGCCTGCTCGACCTCTCCTCCAACGCACTGTCAGGGCCCATCCCTGCCGAGCTGGGGGGGCTCTCCTCCTTGCAGTTCCTCTTCCTCAACTCCAACCGCCTCTCCGGCCCCATCCCCTCCGCCATCGCCAACCTCTCCTTCCTGGAGATCCTCTGCCTGCAGGACAACCAGTTCAACGGCACCATCCCATCGCAGTTCGGCTCGTTGCTCGCCCTCCAGCAGCTACGCGTGGGCGGGAATGCGCTCCTCGCCGGCGCCATACCGCCCCAGCTCGGCCTCCTCACCAACCTCACCACCTTTGGCGCCGCTGCCACCGCCCTGTCCGGCCCCATCCCGCCGGAGTTGGGGAAGCTGACCAACCTCCAGACGCTGGCCATCTACAACACTGAGGTCTCCGGTGCCGTCCCCGCTGAGCTGGGATCCTTGTCGGAGCTCCGCAACCTGTACCTCCACCTGAACCAGCTCGAGGGCCCGATCCCGCGCGAGCTGGGGAAGCTCCAGAAGCTCACCAGCTTGCTCCTCTGGGGGAACTCCATCTCCGGCCACATCCCCAGGGAGCTCTCCAACTGCACCTCTCTGGTCGTGCTCGACCTATCGGTGAATAAGCTCTCCGGCGAGATCCCCGGCGAACTGGGCAGGCTGACCCTGCTGGAGCAGCTCCACTTCTCCGACAACGCGCTCTCCGGCGCCATCCCCAGCGAACTGAGCAACTGCACCAGCCTCACCACGCTGCAGCTCGACAAGAACGCCCTCTCGGGGGAAATCCCGCCGCAGATTGGGAACCTCAAGCTCTTGCAGCTCCTCTTCCTGTGGGGAAACTCCCTGTCGGGGAGGATACCCCCGTCTCTGGAGAACTGCACCGAGCTCTACTCCCTAGACCTTTCCAAGAACCAGCTCGCCGGCGCCATCCCCGAGGAGCTCTTCCGACTGACGAAGCTCAGTAAGTTGCTTCTCCTGGGGAACTCCCTGTCGGGGAAGCTTCCCACCGGCGTGGGGACCTGCCAGTCGCTGGTGAGGCTGAGGCTTGGGGAGAACCAGCTTTCCGGGGAGATCCCCCCGGAGATCGGCGAGCTCAAGAACCTCGTCTTCTTGGACCTCTTCTCCAACAACTTCTCCGGGAAGCTCCCCGTCGAGATTGGCAACATCACGGTACTGGAGATGCTGGACATCCACGACAACCAGCTCGCCGGCGACATCCCCGTCGAGCTGGGCGCGCTGGTGAATCTGGAGCAGCTCGATCTCAGCCAGAACAGCTTCTCTGGAGAGATTCCCCTTAGCATCGGCAACCTGAGCTACCTCAACAAGCTCATCCTCAGAGCCAACCGGCTGACGGGGGCGCTGCCCAAGTCCCTCCAGAACTTGCGGAAGCTGACTCTGCTCGATCTGAGCTGCAATGGCCTCTCCGGCGCGATCCCCCCCGAGATCGGCTCGCTGACGGGTCTGACGATCAGCCTGGGCCTGAGCTCCAACAATCTCTCCGGCGAGCTCCCCAGAGAGATGGCCGGCCTGACCCAGCTCCAGTCGCTCGACCTCTCCGGCAACCATCTCTCCGGCGGGATCGCCGTTCTGGGTTCTTTGACAAGCCTCACCTCCCTCAACATCTCCGGCAACAACTTCTCCGGCCCGATCCCCGTCAGCCCCTTCTTCAGGACAGTCTCCCCCAGTTCGTATGCAGAGAACCCGGGTCTCTGCACGTCGTTCGACGGGTTGATTTGCTCCGCCGACGTCATCCGGAGAACGGCGCTGAAATCCATCAAGAAGGCGGCTCTGGCCTGCGCCATCCTCGGGTCCGTCACCATGTCCATCCTCGCCGTCTGGGTCCTGGTTGGCCGGGGCCGGATGCCGGCGGCGGCGGCGGGGATGTCGCCGGCGCTGCCCTCCTCCGGCGAGGAGGACTTCTCTTACCCCTGGACCTTCACGCCGTTCCAGAAGTTCAGCTTCACCGTCGACGACATCTTGGGCTGCCTCAAGGACGAGAACGTGGTCGGAAAGGGCTGCTACGGCGTGGTCTACAGAGCCGAGATGCCCGGAGGCGACGTCATCGCCGTCAAGAAGCTCTGGAAGTCCAAGTCGGAGGACGAGCTGGTGGACGCCTTCGAGTCGGAGATCGAGATCCTTGGCCGCATCAGACATAGGAACATCGTGAGGCTGCTGGGATACTGCTCCAACCGGAGCGTGAAGCTCCTCCTCTACAACTTCATCCCCAACGGTAACCTGCAACAGCTCCTGCAAGACAGCCGGAACCTCGACTGGGAGACGAGGTACAAGATAGCTGTTGGGGCGGCGCAAGGCCTGGCCTACCTCCACCATGACTGCGTCCCGGGGATCCTGCACAGAGACGTCAAGTGCAACAACATCCTCCTCGATTCCAAGTTCGAAGCCTACCTGGCCGACTTCGGCTTGGCGAAGTCGATGAGCTCGCCCACCTTCCACCACGCCATGTCCAGAGTCGCCGGCTCCTACGGCTACATCGCCCCAGGCAAGTAGTCTTCGCAGAGATGATCTTCCTCCACCGCCCTCCTCAACCTGCATGGCTGGTTGGTTCATTCAGAGCTCTGGTTCTTGCCTGCAGAGTATGGGTACACGACGAACATAACAGAGAAGAGCGACGTCTACAGCTATGGGGTGGTCTTACTGGAGATCCTCAGCGGGCGCAGCGCGGTGGAGCCGCAGGTGGGAGACGGCCTGCACATAGTGGAGTGGGTGAGGAAGACGGGGACCTTCGAGCCAGCGGTCAACTTGCTGGACGCAAGGCTACGGGGGATGCCGGACCAGGCGGTGCAGGAGATGCTGCAGACGCTGGGGATCGCCATGTTCTGCGTCAACTCCTCCCCGTCGGAGCGGCCGACCATGAAGGAGGTGGTGGCGCTGCTAACAGAGGTGAGGAGCCCGCCGGAGGAGTGGAGCGGGAAGACCTCGCAGCAGCCTCTCATGAAGCCCCCCGTCGGGGGTTGACGCCGAGGTGGGGAGGAGACGTTGGTTGGTTGTACAGCTTGTCTGGACTAGACTTCCTGTCCCCGAAAGCACTCTTATGAGCAGGAAACAGTGAAACGGTGATCTAGTTTGCCTGATCTCAGATTAGGGCAGATGCTGGAAAGAAGAACGAACACAGTAGCAGACAGTTCTTATATACATTCTCCTTCATAGGCCAAGAACAAGGCCACAGTGGGCTTCTCTGGGGCCATCCATCCAAGCGGACCCAACCCAGCTATGCAAGCTGGGTCCGCTTGGATTAGAGGATTAAACTTCATTTTAGGATCAAACTCAGAGAAAAGAACACGCGCAAAATCCCCTCCTGGGAGAACAACTACAAATCCATGATCATGGCCATGACGCTGCAAGGATTAAGCGAAGATGCTCAGTAATAACGCCATTTTGGAGGTGACTGTCAGTATTTCATATCTCATTTGTACGCCTCAAAATCTCAAGCCCCTATTGAGAATGATCATTTTCAAAACGAAAACCTCCAGCTTGATGGTGATGAAAGGTTGGCCACTGTACATGAGCAAAATGGGATCCGCGACAAGCCCTACACATTTTCACTGATCATCACCTCAATAGCACACGTTTTCTCAGCAGCCGCCTCTCACTCTGTGACCCACTCAGACAACACAAAGCAATCGACTGCCATATACAAGATAAAGACACTGAGATCAAAGACTATCATATCAACCTTGAGCTTCCCCTCTATTCAGAGATTTGAGGTTAGAGCTCTCTAACTGTTTTCTCTCACTAACTCTATCATTGTCATCCTCGTCATCATCGCAAAGGCCTAACAAAGTTAGAATGGATTCCTAGTTCCGATCATATCTTTGCACACACATCCCATATGTTTTGCCACTGGCTGGTACACGCTGGTTCTCTTGGGGAAGGGCAGGAGAGGATTCTCTTGGGGAGGAGCATACAAGCACTGGGCTGCAGATCGACTTAGGAAGGGAACTACTGGCCTCGAGAGGCCTAACATCTTAGTTACTCAAACGCTCTCTATCATAGCCACATTCTAGAACGCCTGAGATATTTTCTCACCATATCCACCGGAGTTTTCTAATGCAGTTTCTTTCTCTCTGGATCCTTCAACTGATGCATAATGTGTTTCGATCAAACCGCATTCTAGAATGTGTGAGATATTTTCCCACCGTGTCTACCTAAGTTTTTGAATGCATTATCTTCTGTCTGCATCCTTAAACAAATAATGTGGATAGAATTTTCTTCTTATCAGACTATGGTTGTATGGAGTTAACAGTGTGAAGGAAAACCTTCAGAAAAATTTATCAACAGGGCCGCTTCTGATGTTGATGTAGTTTTCATTCCCTTCCCCTTGTTTTCACCCCAAAATTTTCCAGAGCCACATTCCGCTGAATTACAGTTGAATAGTCTCTTTATTTTTACAGAAAATTAATTCACATGAATTTTCTTGCCGACCATTTTTATCGTTTCAAGTTTCCATCAAGAGAATGGGAAAGGCCCTCGTCAGAAGTGTAGATGATTCAGACTGAATTTATCTCATAATTAATCAAAAACAGGAAGTAGATATTCTCCGTAGGAGGTTGGATGAAGGAAAGAAAGGCGCAGAAGGAAAATGAAAATCATCAGACGACCTAGAATGGCCATCCAACTTGACAACTAATTCCCAAAATGGTTAAGAAAACAGGAATAACTGTATCGACCTCCAGAAATCAATCCTTCAGTTGCTCGAGTTCTGCCTTCAGCTGCTCCATCTTGAGGCCCATGGACCTTCTCAAGACCCCCCTGTTCTTCTCCGGAAGCTTTGCCAGCAACCCATCGAACAAGTCGAGGACCTCCTTCACCGCCTCACGAGCGCAATCCGCCTCCTCGTTGAAGTAGACTGTATCCTTGGACTCCAGCGCTGCGTCGATCTCTTCCCGTGCCTCCGCGAATTTCAGGTTGATCTCGTCCACCTCCTGGCTGTAGTCCTCCTCCACGGACGCCCCTGCGGAGAACCCACGGAGGCCGCACGCGGAGCTTCCAAACGGAGGCAAACGATCCCCTGACGCCGATCTGGAGAACGATCGCATCCCGGGACCGCGCCCAAGCGGACAGTAAACTTTTAGCGACGATGAGGCCATCACAGAGCATCGACCGGCGACATCCGCCGACCACCGGGAAGGAGCGCGGCCGGAAAGAGATCTGACGAGAAGCAACCGAGCGCGCTGCCGCAGCTCCATCGTCGCCATCCCCGGCCGCGAGAACCTCACAGGTTCCCCCCTCCTGCTGCCCTTTCTTAACATATTCGTCAATAAAATCCGCAGCTTTTCCAGAATATAACAAAAAAGTGTTTGGTTTATTTTAATTCGTCTAAAGACTGAAACTAAAGGCCTTCGAAACTTGCCATGTCTTCTCTTTCCGGTTCCTCGGTCTATTTAATTTTAGACATAGATACTAAAATGCATTATTATACATATACTCTCTCCGATCGTACTGGGCTTTTCGGCTACAATAAATAAAAAATAATTTAAGATAATTCTTTCAGAGAGATAAAAGCTGGAATAATCGTACATAAAATTATGCCTATTATAATGGGCTAGAACCGGGCTTAGTTCCCACGGGACCAGCCCGGCCCATCTAAGCTAACCCAACCCAACCCAGCCCGCATCAAAGAGGACGAGGCCCTCTCTCTCTCTCTCTCTCTCTCTCTCTCTCTCTCTCTCTCTCTCTCTCTAAAGCAGATCAGACGAGCTCGCCTATCACATTTATTTTGACGGCTCGGGCTGCCCCTTGGGGTCCTCTTCGGACTCCGCCTTCGCTGACAGGATGACGTCGTCGAGGAAGCTCCTCTGAGGGAATTCGTCGGGGACGAGGCTCCGGTATATCTCGAACTGTTCCTCGGCTTCCTCCTTCCTCTCCAACAAGCTGTAGATTATCCCCTGCAATCCAAATATCGAGGATTACTCCGGATCAGAGGCGACGGGGGGATCAGATTCCGTCGTCTACCTGGCAGAGATACGGCCGGAAATCTCTGGGATTTTCCTCCGCAAGCTTCTGGAACCGCGCCAGGCCACCCTCCAGATCACCCTGCAACCAGATAAGTTGACTAAGAAGGAAGGTGCGGTAGATCATGGGAAGGAATAAAAGCGGAGCTGCACATTAATCTCATCGATAAGTGCTTTGAATTCCGCCAACCCCTCCACATGGTCGCCCTGCAAGCCATCACAGCGCAGCTCTCGTATTACAGTGGAGAATCGTTCGTCTGCACGCGCATATAGGAGGCAGGATCGAAGAAAGCAACCGGGGGAGGGAGAGCCCAGATTCCAAGATCCCACCTTTACGACGTGCATCTGGGCGATGAGGATCCTGATGTTGCGTTCCTCGGTGGCTCTCTGCTCGCGGCGCGCCAGCTCCAGGGCTTTCCTGAGCATCTCAAAGACTGCCGGGCCCTCGCGGTTCTTGTGCATCACCAGTGCGAGCCCCTACATGACAGCCCCCGCAACTTATTTTCTGCCTCTGCTCATGAATTTTAAAGCACAATCGATCTAAAAATAAATAATTTCACGGAAGACGTGTTGGGTACTTCGAAGCGAGCAGACAAAACACCAAGGCAGAGAGCAGCAGGTTTGATGATGAGAATTCTAGCAGACCAACGGCAATGAGACTCTTTGAAAAGTTTCATCAGCCGAGTTTTCCTCAAACTTTGGTCAATGGCAAGATAGTTACAGAAAAGAGAGGAGAGAGATCGAAGCTAATACGATTCGTGAATTGATTACAGCAGCATCTGATCATAATGGCACATTCAGGTTAGCTACACTGAGAAGCATCGAAAGGTAGAATGAGAGAGGCTGATCGGGCAACTTGGCATAAAATACGTACAGAACTGGATGTGGCACAGCCCTGATGAAGAACTTGAGATATTTTGAACGGTGCCCAGCAAACTAGAATTGCGAGAAAGAGCAAGCATATGAAGGATTGAAGAGAGAAGAAGCTAGAAACCGTATAAAGATATATGCGGCTATGGAGCCTTACTGGGGGAATATGCATACATGCAATGCTCTCAGCAGAAGGGGTCTCTCTTCCAGGATATCCTTGAACAGCTTCTTGGCCTTCTCTAACCGCCCCATGAACTCATAACAGAGGGCCTGCAGAAGTCGCCACTCCACCTCATCTGGCTCTGCATCAATCAGCCTCTCCACATAGTCCACGGCTTCTCTAGTCTTACCCTTCTTCATCTTTTCGTAGAACACCATCTTCAGAGACTCCACGTCTTTAGGGTTGGTCTCCAGCAACCTCGCCAACAACTCTTCCTCCTCGCCTGCTTTGTCATTCTGGGTGACCAATTTTTCCTCTGTCGGGGCACCTGTATACTGAGCATCGACGATCGATAGAGCGGGCCTACAGCCGAATCTCCCCACAAAGAGCAGGAATCCAATGATAGCTGCCGCCAAGGACCTAATCCAGCTCTTCAAGAGGGGATAATCCTCATATCCGTTCGCATGATTCCCGGGTGCAGTGCCGCAGCAGGATATCCCGCCCGTCGACAGATTGGGCGAAGAACTGTGCAGCAAACGGCAATTCGATGGCCGGAAAGCGAAGGGATACCAGATTGAGAAGTTCAACCCTTCATGGATTGTAGAACGGTGAAGCCTCGCATGAGACCAGGGCGAAGCCTGGCGGCCTGCGCAGCTCACCTCAGCGGGAACCCTAGAAAACCCTGAAGAGCCGGTCAAGGAGAGAGATAGACACAACATCTGCAGCACCGAAAAAATCCGAACACGGAAGCGAGAGGAGTCGCGGGGCAGCCGGCGGAGTTGGGACGAAGCGACCGAGAGAAACAAGAAGACGACTGAGACAGCACCGGCGAAAGTCCCGCAGCGGATAGAAGGGTTTTGGTGGCGCAAGAGGAACACCAAACAGGGAAGGTTTTCCCTTTCCCTTAATGGGCCATTAAAAAAGGCCCATCCCTATATCCACATCAGCCCACTTAAAGAGGGACCTGAGTACGTGGCGATGGGCACGGGGATTGCGACGCCCGATGTGGATTGGCGGAAGTGCCGGTGGCGGGAAGTCCGAGGGATTGGGAATGAACACTCGGAGGCTAAGCGAGTTCCGAGGAAGAACCAATCATGACTCGAGAAAGGAAAGGAAGGGCTCCGGACGGCGGGAACGAGACGTGACGAAATTTAATGCACTTCTCGCCCTTCTCTCGAGGCCGCATTTAATTCCTCCGCCCGGCGCCGTACGGCCCAAATCTGCCCCCACCGTACGATCGGAGGGCCTCCGCCGAGAGTGGTGGGGCCCGGCCCATCGGACGGCGGGCGGCGGGGGGTAGGGACAGAACGGAGGGCTGTCACTGTTGCTGTCAAAAAGCTAGCCGACTCGGGCCTTGACTCAGCCGTTCCGTGCTGGCCCGTGCTCGAGCCCGCCAGCGGCTTTGGGGGAGGCGGGGGGGGCCTCCCGATCGGACGGTCGGGGGCCGGTGGAATGATTGTGCCGGCCGTCGTACACGTGACCCGACAGCGCATAGTGCAGGTGATGACCCGCTGTCCGGATTGACGGCCCCCCCTCTTCTCAAACAGCTTGTAGAGAGAGAGAGAGATGGGGGTGACGTAAGGATGACCGCGTGGGGAGATAAGATGGAGAGGTTGCCGCGTGGCTGGTTGCTGTTCGCGAGATGATGCCGGACAGTAAGAGTCGTGGGTTGGATTCGGACAATAGATACCGCTCAAAATCCCGTGCCCAATTCAGACAGTAGAGAGAGAGAGAGAGAGAGAGAGAGAGAGAGAGAGAGAGAAGACAGAAGAAATGCCGCCGTCTCCATGCTGTCGTGGGGATAAACGTTCCGGTTCATCGTCCGGGCATGCAAAATGCCGTTCCCTTACATCGTTGCAATCAAGAGAGAGAGAGAGAGACAGAGACAGAGATAGAGACACGAGAGAAGATGAGCGAAGGAGAGTTGAATGTAGTTTAGATTTGATCATTTGCCGGCGAGACGGCCGACGCTCGAGTAGATGGAAGCTGGACATAAGGCTACGGACGTTACCATTCCCCCCCTCCTTCCCTTCCTCGAGGCCCAGGTTGGTCCGCCAAAGAATGGCCGCCGGCGCAGCAACCCCCACCCAGCTTTGACGAGATGACGACTCGAAAAATGTAGTGTTCTTCGTACCCTATAGCCCTCTCCCTACGTAAAGTGCCATGGCGTCCTCTGCAAAGAATAGTCGGCTGCTAGCGAGAGGAAGAGAGAGAGAGATAGCTCAGGAAGGCAATTGCCGGGCGAAGTTATAAAATATTTCGCGAGATTTGTGGGGAGAAAAGTCGAGTTTCAGAATATATATGATAATCCAGAGGGAAGGAAACTGGTCTCAGTCGTGATTGTGAAATGCATTGAATTCCTCATAGCTTTGCGAATTACGCTTTAAATTATGATAACAACAGGTACTGTCCGTTGGGCTCCATCCGCCATTAATGGAGATCCGAAGCACAGAGGCTGGGGGGGGGGGCGGCAAGGGGGGAGCACTCATTAGAGGGGGAAGCCCCGTCGAGTCATGCTCCGTCTGAGGAGGGGGATGCTTTCCGGCGGTCTACGGGTGAATATACGTTGGCCAGGTAGGGATTTGACCCTCATCAGCTGGGTCGATTCCCGAGCCGTATAGCAGGCCCGGCCGAGAAGGAAATCCCCCAAAAGATACCTGCCATGTTGGGGGAATCGAGCTCATGGATACTTCTTAAAGACGCAGTTGCCCCGTCTCTCCAGCCGTCTGCCCTCTCTATATATAACAGCCTTCACCCCATTCATCGGATGATAATTCTTTCTAAATCTGTAACCTAGTCTCATCTCCTCTTACCTCCTCTCACCTCTCTCTCTCTCTCAAAATATAACTCCGGTTCCCCCTTCTCGCTCTCACTCTCTCGATTTCTCTTCTTACTACTACCTACCCATCTCTTTGAAGTTACACAGGATAGGACAGTAAGACACGGGAGAAAAAGCAGAGCGCCGCCCTTGAATGGAGATGGAGCTGAGGAGGTCGAAGTTCGGAAGGATCTGCGTCTTCTGTGGCAGCAGCTCGGGGAAGAAGAGCAGCTACTCGGAGGCAGCGGCGGCGCTGGGGAAGGAACTGGTACGGTGTGGCTTCTTGTTTCGCCTATTTGTCGGAGGGTTTCCTCCTAAGCTATGGGGGCGTGGTATCCTTCACCTTCCGCCCATCTCCAGCTCCCGGACAATTAACCCATCCCCGCCTGCTTGTTCGGGTCCCGTCTACACCTGCAGGTGGAGAGAAGGATCAATCTGGTCTACGGAGGAGGAAGTATTGGCTTGATGGGAGACGTCGCGAAGGTCGTCAGCGACGGCGGTTGCCATGTCTTGGGGTCATCTCTTCTCTCTCTCTCTCTCTCCCTCTCTCTCTCTCTCTCTCTCTCTCTCTCTCTCTCTCTCTCTCTCTCTCTCTCTCTCTCTCTCTCTCTCTCTCTCTCTCTCTCTCTCTCTCTCCCTCGATATATATATATATATATATATATCTGTGTGTGGAGCATTTTGGGAGGCTGAAACCCTCTCCCTCCCACAGAAAGACGGATGCACCTTTGCCTCATCCGACAACCATTCTCTAGAAATCAGCGTTGACTTTTGACTGAATCTTTCGATCCATAAATTTGCAGTGTCATTCCCAGGACGTTAATGCAGGAGAAAGTAAGTCCTTCAGACCTAGCATTCCATATGTTAACCGTAAGAGGAAGGAAATCAGTTCAAATGTGAGAGGGCTCCTGCGTGAAAATCTGCAGCTGACTGGGGTAGCTGTCGGCGACGTGCAAGTGGTCTCCGACATGCACGAGAGGAAGGCGGAGATGGCGAAGCAGGCTGACGCCTTCATCGCCCTGCCTGGTACTTTAAATCTCGATCTCCCAACGCCTCTTATTTTCTTCGTAATTCGCGTGTTCTTACTGTTGTCACCCTTTCCGAATCACCCAGGAGGCTATGGAACTCTCGAGGAACTGCTGGAAGTCATCACTTGGGCTCAGCTCGGGATCCATAACAAGCCCGTGAGCACCTCTCTCTCTTACACACACACACATCGAATGCACTTTTATCTCTCATCTGGCGGGTTTCCTTCCAGTCGGAAGCGGCGGCGATAACCTTGTCGTATGCTTCTGGCAGGTGGGTCTTCTGAACGTCGACGGCTATTACAACATCCTGTTGTCGTTCATCGACAAGGCTGTGGACGAGGGGTTCATCTCCTTCTCCGCCCGCCGGATCATCGTCTCTGCCACCACTGCTTCGGAGCTGATCAGAGAGCTGGAGGTATCCTCGTCTCCGTTCGACTGTAGAAATATGAAGCTCTACCCTATCTCCTCTAGAAGGGGCTGATCCGTCGGTAATATTCCTCCAGGAGTATATCCCCCAGCACGACGAGGTGGTGGCAAAGTTGATATGGGAGGTGGACCCCAGGAGCTACTACACGCCGGAGCCGGAGCCCATGGCCTCCGCCTCCTGAGCTACTCCCGCCTGCGCCGATTCTCATCCTCGAACTAACCCCTACCCAATTGTCTAGAATCCAAACCACAGGTTATCCACGGCAAGGGGAGCATCATCCCAGCCCTTGTTAAGCTCTCACTTTTGTTCTCCGGTGGCCCCGCCCCTTCTGCTCGCCGGAGCTGCAGCAAAGTCACCGCGTATATCAATCAACACGCTTCTTCCTGTGTACACCTTTTGAAGGAAGGGCCTTGTCGATACTATCTCCGTGCTTGTTAGTACAAACGTTCCAAGGTTCTTGCTTTCGTGTGGTGCTTCTGAACTTGGCTGTCGGCACGTCGGCGGCGAGCGTTCCTTTCTCTCTGCTGCGGCCACAGTGGGGGGCCTCTTTCCATCCCCGTCAGCTCTGCTGTCGGCACCCAGTCGGCGACGGCGGTGGGAGCCTCCGCCCGGTTGGCCAACAGCGACGTGACCCTGCGGCGGCCGGTGTCGCCGGGCCCACGCGCTGCCCCGCCTGCGGCCGCCCCCCTCGTCTCCGCCTTCTATTTTCCCAGCCCCCGACGTGGAGGAAGATCCATTTCACAATAGCAGCTCATCCTGGGCCCATCCCGATTCTATTTCTATGATGGGCCTAACGCAGCCCAATTGGCAATCTCGAACTCCCGCCCTTTGCCACCTGGTGACTTCCGATTTAGGCCCATTTCTATTTGAGCCAGCCGCAGTTCGAGTTTGGGCCGGTGGGGTTCGATGATTGGCTTAATACGACCCAATGGAACACCCTCCCGTTTAAGAGGATTATTTCGAACTCCCGCCCTTACGGACCTGGTGACTTCTTCCTCGAGAAGGGAGGGAGAGATTTGGGATGCGGGGGTGGGAAGATGGCGGCTCAGCAAGTGTTCATCGCTCTGCAATGCTCCGATTGCTCCATGATGCAGGTGAAAGTTGGATTGAACCACTCGGCTGCTCCCTTAGTCGTCGCTGTGTACCTGATTCTCTGGCCGTCTGAGCTATTGTGATCGATCAGGTTAAGCAGCAGAAGAAGAGCAGCAACAAGTGGGTGTGCGCGGTTTGCAACCAGAGGCAGTCTGTCCGGAAGGTGTTCGCCCGCAGCTGCCTCGCCAGGGATGTTCGGGGCTTCGTGCAGAGGTTCAATATGTCCAGATCGTCGACCGGGGAGTCGGAGAGTCCGGCGCCAGCTCAGATCGGAGCAGATGCGGCGGAAGAATACGGCGATTCGATTCGTTGTTCCGCTCATTACACTTGTGGCAGTAGAGGGCGGACTGTTCCTCGAACCGATTGGTCGCAGTATTTGGATCCTGACGAGGAAGGCGCAGTAGACGACGGTCCGTTGTTCCATCGAGGATGACGCCCTAACGGAGTTGCAATTTTCCTTCTGAAATCCTGACGATCCCCACTGTAAGTTTACCGCTTGGATTTCTAACCATTCTGTGTCTGTAGGTTCAAACTCGGACACTAGAATGGTGACGGAAATGCCTAGAGAAGTGGTCAAGCGAGCCTTTTCGAAACTCCCCCCTAAGCAAAGAACTCTGCGGGAAAACGAAGCTCCCCGGCGAATGTTATCTGAGAGGAAGCAGAAGCAAATCCCCCAGCCACAAGGCACGCCACAGCCTTCGCTCGAACCCTGTCCCCTTTTCTTTCCCCTCGACGTTGGATAGGATTCTCCTCCCGCATTCGTGGATTTTCGCTCACTCTCCTCTACTCTCCAGTGCCGTCTGACTGCGTTGCTTTGCAGTGACCGGCGGCCGCGAGAAACGCCAGCGACTAGCGAAGGGGGGGTCGTCTAAATGGAGCGAGTACCTGCAAGAAGACGATGCCTGCGCAACAATTGAAGCAGGAGGGATGTCACCAGATCGTAACGTGAGCTCTGACGGCTACTCCCATGGCCAGTTCACCGAGGCCTCCTTCGACGAGGAAGTCCACCCAGACTTCCTCTGACCCTCTTCTGCAGGATGCCTTAATCGGGATCAGATTTCCCACCGATTCCGCCGCAGCTGTGCTGAAACCGGAATTTCAATCTCCTTTGATCGATAAAAATGATGAAATCTCTACCGCACAAAGTAGTGATTGCATTTCAAGGTAACGAAGATGATGTTCATCAGCCCTCGCTAGTAGACAGCCTTTAATTTCCTAATGGAAGACATAGCATGGTTGAAAATTTTAATTGGTTTTTTCCGATGTATAATACAACTCCAACTTTGAGACTGGAGGTATCTGCTTCTAGTTCTAAACCCAGAGAGATGCGGGGTAAGGATAATATGAAAATTAAAGTCAAGATTGTCTTAAGTTGCTGAAAGGATGTTTTCGTTTATAAACATCAATTGAAGGCATTGCACTTGAACTATTGTATAAGAAATTTGTGAGAGCTCACATGATGGATATGAAGTACCAATTTACCTTACCAATCTTAGGAATCCTCAAAGTTCATGGAAGTTGTCTGGGGATTGTCACCTCAAACCGGCTTCTACTACTCTCACTGCATGGCGACTCTTCTCTAGATATCCAATGGCAAAGGTAAAAAAAATGTGGGTATTCAAAGAAAAACATCTTCAGGTTGATGTGCAACTAGTGGGACTATAGGGCAGGGCATCAAATACTCTGTTCAAAACATCATCAAAAATATTAAGATATATTTTTTAAGAAATTTGTAAAAAATAATGTTTATTAGTTATTAGAAAGTTGACAGTACATTAGAAAGGCCAAAAGACATTATGAAAAATTCGTAATGGACTATGTAGATCTGATACACCATTTTTTAAATGTCTTTAGCTCGAATTTTAATATGATCATAGCATACTCAAATGTCTATCTTCAAGGATATATGGAAATCATTTTAACTCATTCAACAATTCTTCAATGATCTAAATAAAAAACTGATATAGAATCATTATCTTCTTAAGGATGCAATCGATGTAGCCCAAGACTTTGAATTTGGGTTCAATTATCATAATTTAGGTCATAAAGGGAAGAATGTTGAAAAGGAGCCCAAATGAATCACTAGTGCCTTGGAGGTACACACAAAACTTTTTATTCCTTACTTTTTGTCCATTTAATTTTATAAAGTATTTTATGTTACTTACCTTCTAGAATGTGCCTTAAATGTCATTAAGAGTTCATACTCAAGATCTATTCAAAACCTTTGCATATCATAATCTGTTTCAACTTATTTCATAGTCAATCAGAGTGTCTTAAGATCTGTTCAAAATCTTAATCTATTAAAGTCTATCATAGGTCATTTCATAGTCAATTAAACTCAGTCCCTAAGATTTATTAAAAATCATCTCTTTGAGAGCATCTCAGCTTCTTTTTAGCCCCATATAAAGGCCCTCATTATAACTTGAGAATAACGCTTTTGGATTTGAACTAGTTTTCTCTATTGTGAGAGTTCTCCCCCTTTCACTTGTAAATTTAGGCACCCCTTGTGAATTTAAGAATTTAAGATTTCAAATTTATAAGTTCAGAAGTTAGTTTCTTCTTTAAGATTGGAGCTTTGTGGATTCAAGTCCCAAATCTTTGTATCTTATATGCTATTATTATGTCAATACTAGTTTACATAAAATTTTCATAAATCATATTGTGACTTTTTTTAGTTAACATCAACATCATCTCTAAGATTGGAGCTTTCTTTAAGATAAGGATAGTAGGGCTCGAAAGGTGTTGTTTGAATGTTTAATGATGTCTACTTTCAACATTTTTTTTATCAACTTTTTTAATTATACTTTCTAAAAATAGAATTATATAATGTTGATTGACTTCGAATTTGGTTTCAATAAAATCAATGATTCACATCTCTATTAGAAGGAAGCCCTTAGATTTTGACATAGGTATCAAGTAATTAGAGTTTCAGCTACCACTTGAGTGAAGCTGAATTCTCCTCGAATTTCTATTGTGTTAATGAATATAACTCATGGTAAAATTTTCTCTTTTTAATGCTGCCCAATAGGCATTTGAGGGAGATGGAAATATTAATTTCTAGACGCTTTATTTTGAGGATCACTTTCTTTGTTTAAATTTTGGAATGCAAGGTCACATGCTCAAAGTCTAATTCAATCTTTTTTCTAGCTTTCATCCATTGAATTCCTTAGATGATGTTGACATTGACTAAAATAAAATTAATGGGAAAAAATAAGAAAATTAATAGGCTCTTACAAATAGTTAGTGCTTGCAATTTGACGACAACTCAATACATTCCAATTCTTAGCACCTTCTTTCCAATTCTTGTCAGTACTTGGTAGCACAAGATAATTGTAATCAGAAGGTTAGTTCCTTCACAATGCTGAAACTGATGAACTTATGGGTTGCTCCGATTATCAGCAACGATTGTGATTGATTTCTTGTCAATCTCCTCTTGAAAATTAAAAGCTCTAGTTGCGGATTCTTTTGTGAAAGAAATTAGAGACACCTCAAGATTGGCCAGTGACCTTCTTCAAGTAGAATATTGAAAAAAATCTTCTCCCATCTCTAAAAGTGTTCTAATGAAATCAATCTCGTCGAAAATAATGAGAATTTGTAGCTCCTTATGGAAATAGTGACTTTGAGACGACTTCTTGTTGCAGGTATAGCATGGTCTTTGAGCCCAATGTGTTTGGTTTTTTGTGGACTTGAGGTCAAGTATCCTCCTTTATATTAGAATAGCTTCCATGTGTGTTAATGTAGTTATAGAAAGTCCCAAGATTCCATCATCGTCGATTTGCCAAGGGAAAGTGAGTTCCGGCGCTCACTATCAACGAAAGTCAAAGTTTAGGGTGATTGTTTCAGGAGGTTTGCAGGAATGGAATTTTCTTAATGGGCTGAGAATTGTGAGGGTATTATTCTACAACTCGACCTTCTGGACCACTCTCATCATCACCTCAAGCTCAATAGGCTTGAATAAGCATAATTTTGCCCATATATCCTTCCACTTGCTTTTCAAGATAATGCTTTTGAGGATTTGTTCCAGAATATCTCCGATTATGGTTGTCATAAGTTCGAATTCTTCTCTGTATTCATCAATCGAACCATTTGTTTTAGCTCAAGAATTTCTAGCATGACAAATTAGATTAGTTGGGGTTGAAGTGTTCAAGGATTTGGCGCCGTAATTCCTCCAAATTATGAAAGGGTATGTGGCCATCGACCCACTGACACCAGACAAGAGCTCCGCCTTCCATACTAAGGTTGACGGCATAGAGCTTTTCCAGATAGAAAAAAATATGATTTCACCTAGAATACTCAACCCTTCGGATAAAACCTGTTAAATATCGACAATTTAAGCCTCCTGTCATACACTGATCATGGCAAGGTCGCAGGGGGTTGACTCCTAATTGCTTAAGGCTGTGGGGGTTTTTATGTGGGATGTGAAGCCACTAACTGGGGTCCTGATCCTTTGTCTCTCTAGCAATGAGTGGGTTGTCCCTAGCTAGATTCTCCCAAAGTCCACTCCTCCGAAGAAATCATATGATGTTTCTCCTTGCCGGACCGAGAAGTGAGGGTTATTTGCTGTAGGGTTATTTTTCATGGCACAGAGGATGAGAAGGACAAAGACTGCCGTCTCCTTCTCTTTCCCTTGAGAAGCCATCAGATATGCAGATAATCTGAGGGCTTCTCATAAAACAGGGCCTTGCATTTTCAAGACACCTTCAGCAACTCGTGGAAGGCTTCTTGGGGAATGTCCACCGACCCAACGCGCTTCATCCGCTTCTTCCCTTCCTTCTGCTTCTCCAGCAGCTTCTTCTTCCTGGTTATGTCCCCTCCATAACATTTCGCCAGGACGTTCTTCCTCATCGCCGAAAGCCTGCAGGACAGACACAAGGTTCGTGTTCAGCAGCCGCGGAGGAAGAAGACATGGAGGCTTTCCCTCTCGGGTAGGTCGTATGGACCAAGCAGAAGCGGATGAACAGGCTGAGAGCATAAAAATGGCTGTTCGACGAAACGCCAAGCAGAGGGCGGCATCTCACGTTTCCCTGGCGACGACCTTGGAGCCGATTGCAGCCTGTATTGTTATCTCGAACATTTGCCTGCCAAGAACCGCGTGAGCCAACCCACGCGTAGGGAAAACGAGCAGATTTTAAAAACTGACGATACTTTTTTGTCGTCTGAAGAGCACCGCACCTGTCGATAACTTTCCTCAATTTTTCAACCAGTTCGCGACCAATCCTCTGCGCTTTCAGGCTGTGAACAATCGTGGCCATGGCATCAACCGGCTGCCCGTTGAGGAGAACGTCGAGCTTCACTAGATCGGATGCCTGGTACCTACAACGGCGACCATTAATAGAAAAATTATCGAGTTCATGTGGTTACCATCATCTCAAGAGGATGACATTTTTTCTAAGATAGGGGGCTGCAACAAAAAATTCCTTCGGTGTGAAGCAGAGCTTACTCTTCGTCTTCATAGTCAAACGAAGCATACCCAGATGTTATGCTCTTCAGCTGATCGTAGAAGTCTACGACAATTTCCCTCAGAGGCAAACGGTACTTCATGAGCACCCGTTGACTGCATATTCGAGTTCCTCACTTTATGTTAGAGTTCTTCAATAGACAGGACACGGATAATTCAGCAGAAAGAGACAATCACCTGTCAATAAATGAGTATTCTAGCTGCTCTCCTCTTCTCTCTGAGCAGAGTGTGATCACGGCTCCAACGTATCTGCCACAGGATACAGAACATATGAAAGAGATGAGACCCCCCATATGCTATGTGGGTTCTATAAGTTTTCCACATATCTTTTACTAGACAAAGAGGGCGAGAAAAGATTGATGAGAAGAGGGTTTCAAATTAGAGCTTACTCACTAGGAATGATGATCGTAGCAATCACAGATGGTTCCCAGCACGCAACTACACGCTTGCCAGGATTTGAGGACAAGGAAGCAGGGTTCTGGACGTTGACCTTACTATGCAAGCAATACAGTACGTCGGTTGATGCAGAGTTTCTAGTAAACAATAAATGAATGGAAATACAATAATGCTGCACCTTCCGTCGGAATATTCAAATATATATGGCACTGTTGGAACGGTGGATATAACATGAGCTCCATACTCCTACAGGGTTGGTTGATGCAGACGGAATAACAGTAGTCAGATTTTAGTCGCTAAAGTACCCAAAAGAACACATCCCTTTCCCGATTAATGAAACACAAAACAAAATAGGAAGATTAATCTTCTGAAGAATTTCGAGCATATTTTTAAAAAACAAGCATTTGTTCGAAAATATATGCATAATATGGTTGAAGGCAGAAGAAGAATCTTCCACGGAAAACCCACCAATCACCCATGAAAAGCTGCCCATAAAAAATCTCTGGGCGTGTCTTTGACGCGTTGTTCAACGAAAGGAAAAACCCTATTTATCCCATCAGGATTCATTACTCACAGTTCTGCCCTCAAAGTTAGTCCATTCATCTTATGTTGACTGCACTCAATTCAGAATGTTCCATCTCCGCAGATGTAAGAACTTAATACCTATTGCGTTTTCTAAATGCAACATGCCGAATGAAGGAAGCCCATAAACAGCGCATCCCTAACGAAACCCATCAGAAAACTAAGCCTTTTCCGTTACTACGGCCCTCAACTGGCTCTGAGCTCCAAGGCTTATGTAGTCTCGTATTTATAAAAATATGAGATACTTCATACATTGAGGAAGTTCACTTCAAAAGAATCCATTAGAAAACCCAGATTTTGAAGCTCCCGATACTCTTACCTTAACTTCAAGATCCATGGGAATTCATGATCTCGTCTAATTCTCAGTACATTGGGAAAATAATGAATTTGGCCATACACCTATATGATACATCAGTTATACGAAGTTCAAATGGTAAATACTTAAGCTTCTCTTCAATGATTAATTAGATATATAAACGAAAGTAAGCATGCCGCTAAAATTGATCAAATGAAATCCCCTAAGCCCAAAAGTTCATATTAGATTCCTTTGAATCAGGAGTCCAGGAAACATTGATAGGAGAAAGAAAAGAAGAGGAAGAGGATGATGGTGACGATAATGGCAATGGAATAGGCTTATAATTGATTAGTCCTAAAATATAAAAATCCTAATAAAAAAAGGCAAAAGAATGAAAGAGTACTTGTTCAAGCCGCTGATGGAATACATCCATGTGCAATAAACCTAAAAATCCACACCTGCATATCACATAGACCTCTTAGAGACCGTTCCTAGGCCAAAACATGAAAAATGCAAAAGGTTGTTTGTTTCCAACTTAATTAAAAAGAAATGAAAAGATATCTTGCAGGTTTATCAATGACACAATTGTCTCTTTGAATTGACGTGTACCTAAAACCAATGCCCAGTGCCGTACTGGTCTCTTTGGTAACAGATACACTAGCATCATTGCATGTAAGTTTCTCTATTGCAGCATTAAGAGCATCAAAGTCGGATCCATCCGCAGGATAAAGGCCCGAAAAAACCATGTGCTTTGCTGGTTTGAAACCTGAAAGAAAAACTACATCTGAGAACACATGAAAGGCAACGTTCTGCCCATAAAAGTGACCAAAGCCTCCCTGGTGTTACGAAACATCCGAAGCAGTAGCAGGAGATTGCACTTCATGAGGTGTGGTCTATTGCAGAAATGTTAAATTAGAAAAATGTACCTGGAAGAGGCTCTACAGAACTTCGGGCATGATGTAAAGTATCTCCAACGCGTGCCTCTTTTGTTGATCTCATGCCACTAACAACATAGCCAACCTGTCCACTGAAAAGCACTCCAGTAGGGGTGAGTTCAGGATGCATGATTCCAACATCAAAAATCTCATAAACCTGGCCGGTGGCAGCAGATGCAATCTTGTCCCCCTTGTGCAGACTCCCATCAACAACCGCAACATGACAGATCACACCTTTATATTCATCATAATATGAATCCAACAGAAGCATCCGTAAAGGTGAAGCACTTTTCCCTGGAGGAGACGGTATTCTTTCAATCACAGCAGGAAGAACATGTTCAAGGCCTTGACCAGTTTTGGCAGACGTAAGTAGGGCATCGTTTGGATCAAGATCGAATAAGGACTTCAACTGAGCTTTCACACGGTCAGGATCAGCAGTTGGTTGGTCGATTTTATTTATTACAGGGATTATCGTCAAATTAAACTCAAAAGCTAGATAGAAGTTAGCTACTGTCTGCGCCTGGACACCTTGAGCAGCATCAACAACTAAAAGGGCACCCTGACAAGCTGCAAGGGACCTAGAGACTTCGTAACTGAAATCTACATGGCCAGGTGTGTCGATCAGATTAAGAAGAAAATCATTCACCCTATGTGTCTCGCCTGCACTAATACCACTAGGTTTATGCTTGTAGAACATGGTGGCAGTCTGTGCTTTAACCGTAATACCTCTTTCCCTTTCCACCTGAGATAATAACCAAAAAATTGTCTTAGAACATAGGGGACAAAATAAGCATAGAAAACATTGTAGAATATTAGTGAGGCAAATGTGTACCATTATGTGATTAGGCAAATGTGCACCATTATGTGATGAGGTAAAGTCATCAAGGACGATTGTGTGATTTTTTCCTAGCAGAAATATGGTTTCTTAACTCAGCTCCAGAGAATAATCAAATAAGAGGGAAGGTCATTCAATGACTAAGCGAAATGTCCGGTTGCATCCGTTTCTTTCCCTTAAGAAAATCGCAGGTTGCAGAAGTAATTTTTGTTCTGTCAATAATCAAAGATGATATGATCGATAATACACTGAAGGATTTTTATTTGGCATTCAAGGGTTAAGATTGTGACAAATAGTCAGACAACTTGAATCGTTTCGAAATAAGTGTTAACGCTGTTTCTCTCTTTTATCCGTCCACTGGCTTGACCTGTTGTGTATTTAGATGTAAATGGGGGAAAAAAGGAAGCTTTGTCATCTTACATGAGGAAAATATTTATTATTTAATAGCCATATAAAATGTCATATAATTTACATCAGCAGCTAGAGTTGAAGGATAGTAGAAATGAGAACCACAATGATTTCCATTGTAAACACGGCTAAAGAAATAGACAAACAAGGTGATAATAAAGGACAAATCAGGAACACAAAAAAAAAAAGGATGAGCAAGCTGAACAGACACAGGAGTTGTCATAGATTATACCTTGAAAAACTGTTAAATAATGCTTTTCTTAATGAATTTGTGCGGCACAACAAGGTAAAAAGTAGAAAACGAATGGCGCCATCGAAGAAACTGTGTTACATGAAAAGAGGGCCTTAGCAAAGGAAACAAGAATTTTGGGGACAAAACAAGAAGATTGGAACATGCAGATCACTTACCAACCTCCTGGTGTCCTCAGGAAAATAAAAAATGAAAAATGGATAAATATCTAGTGTCCTCAAATCATCTAGAAGAGTATGAGAGATGTAAAAAAATGCACAAACTGCTGAAGGATCAACGTAATGGTGTCACGTATGCGCATGGACTAAAATTACGAACGTTCAATTCATGTTTATGCCTTGTTCAAATGAAACCAAGAACTCTAACTTTTTGTACAGACGGATGAAGAAGCTTAGAGAGAAGACATAAGGACTTTTAAATGGCATTTACAGATCCAGGGGAAGGCTGCGATAGGATTCGTAAGAGTGAATTGTTGTGGGGTGTCCAGCTCCTGTCAAATTAAACTGCGTGGTGACCTTCAAAATTTGAGGGAGATAAAAAAAAAAAAAACAGATGATGACTTGAATCATTTGCATTAAACAAGGAAATGGCACCTTAAGCTTCCCTGCCTTGTCGATTTTTCTAAACGTTCGAAGAAGCATCATGCCAAATGCGATGGAAATCACCATTTAATAGCCCCCAAGCGAGCTACATGGCACCACATGTTTCGAAGAAGCATTATGGTGCAATTTCCAGCCTGGCCTTGCCCTAGTGGAAGCGAACTTGCTACGAAGTGAGAACACATTGATGTCTACATTTGTATGTCGAAATCAGGCCCTCGAAATAAATTCTTTGTTTTTCGCAGGGAAATTTACGAATTTTTTCGATCTTAATTTACTTCTATTTAAAAAATTTACGGTCAGAGCTAATGAAACCGACTACTCTTTGTGCTAATGGATGGAGCATTCATTTTATCCTTACTGACCTGCAACTTGTCGAGGTATTGGGGTTGACCATGTCCCTTCTTGATTGTACCCGTAAGCTCGAGGAGGCGGTCCGCCAGTGTCGACTTACCGTGATCGATGTGCGCGATTATGGAGAAGTTCCGGATCCTCTCTGTCGGGAACTGGCTCAAATCTACGCCATCATCCTTTCCTGCCTGCCGACTGTAGCAATAATGGCCAAGGCCCCATTCGGCGGTCCATCCCACCTCTTCTCCCCGGGCGCTCCCTCCCCCTGCGCTGTGGAAGGAGCGAGACGACGCGGGTGAAGCAGACAACAGCAGACACACAAGCCTCCGCCCCGACGGCTTGGACACTTGACGGAGATAAGCCATCGAGGCCTTCCGGCGCTGCGAGAGACTGCTACCTAGGTCATGGGATCAACGTTTGCTCAGGGACTCAGAGAGAGAGAGGTAGCGATGTGGGGAGAGAGAGAGAGAGAGAGAGAGAGAGAGAGGGAACTCCCTTCATGAAGACAGGTGGAGTGGAGAAGACGATGACCCAGGATTCTCTCTAAGCTACTCGCCCTAGAGAGCCCCTCGTCCAGGGACTGAATGGGCCAGACTAAACCTGGAATCTACCCACTGGATCCATTCGAAGGCCCAAAATTACACCCTGCCCAGATAACACCCCCGCCCACCTTTCGCTTCTCCTCTGTCGGCCTATTGGGCCGGTACGGAGTCCATATAGATCCGGCCTTTCAGTCCATTTTCTACGCTGCTCCCTGTTTGGAAAATCTTACCATTTTTTAACTTTAGAGGATGATTACTTTTTTGGTAAATTGACGTCATAAATGGATAGTAGCTCTCCACAGTCGGACACAGGGAGGATTTAAGGATCAACAGGAGGGAAAGGAACGGCGGGGATAGTCCCGACAAGAAAGGTCGAAATGCACGGCCGAGATTCTCGGATCACGAGAGGGGCCCGCTTTGACTGGTCGCCCATCCCTCTTGGACCTGAACCGCGTACTGCAGATTCCAGATGACGTCGTCGATAGACGGCCGTTGACTTGCGTCGCCGGCGACGCAGCTGAGCGCCAGCTCGGCCGCCGTCCGCAAGGAGTCATAGGCGAAGGTGCCCTCGATGGCGGGGTCAATGAGTTGACGAAACTTCCCCGGCCCGTCCGCCAAGAAATCTCGCAGCTGGAGAGAAAGGCAGAAACCCCGCCTGAGAAAGACGCCAGCGAAAGGCGGCGCAGAGAAGGCCACTTTCCTGAAATGCTTACCTGATTGATGGAGGCGTTCAGCCTGCTCGGGTTGGAGACGGGGCTCCCGGTGATGATCTCCAGCAGGATGAGGCCCAGCTGGTAGACGTCTCTTTTCTCTCCCTGTTCATCTCTCTGGGCCCCATTGCTGCAGAAGGGAAATCCAGACACGTTGCTCAACTTTCAGACATGAGCTCCCATGGTTTCTTCACAGAGAGAGAGAGAGAGAGAGAGAGAGAGAGAGAGAAGAGGGCGAGGGGAACGTACCAGGCGAGATCGCCGTCTTCGATTCCGTAAAAGGGGCTCTCCACTCCTCCCTGAAGGACCACACCATGAAAATTAGCGAGGGTAGAGTGGAAGCTTGAGAAGATTATATGGGTTGACCTTGACGTTCTTGTTCTTCGACGCCATAGGAAGATTGTAGCTGCTGATCTTCGCCGTGAGGGTCTCGTCCAGTGAGATGGTTTCGATGCTCAGATCGTTGCCCGAAACGCCAGGAACGGTGACGGAGTGCAAGAACTGGACCCCCCTGGCGACCCCGATCGCCGCCGCCGCTCTCTGGGGCCACTTGAGCATCTCACGCTTCCGCCATTCTTCCCGTGAAACAAGATCAATCAATAAAAGAGAGAAGAGAATTCTGCAGAGAAAAAACTCTTCATCGAATGCTGCTCACCGGTCAAATGGCTCCTTAGATTTCCATTAGAGACGGCCTCGAGCATGAGATACATGCAGTGGCGTGAGGCGGAGTCCTCCTGATCGTCATCGACGCAGTGGCCGAGCACGCTAACCAGATGGCGGTGTCTCAGCTTCGAGATCACGTCGATGAACTGGGCCATGCTCTGAGGGGAGTATCTCTGCTTCAACCTCAGGCATTTGACCACCACCTTGGAGCCATCCCGGAGCCGGCCGTTGTACAGCTATAGATGGGACAGAGAAGAAACATTCAGAGTTCACGAGCCTGTAGACAACAACCCATCTTTCAGAATCATACCTGGTGTTGGGATTTGTTCTCCAGCACCAGGTTTTCGGGGCTGAAGTTGCAGGTTGCTTCTTCGACCTCCTCTCTGGTGAAGGTGCGGTACAATCCCACGCCGGCCGAAGCCAGTCTCGCAGATTGCAGCAAGTGCCCTGAGCAGTGGAAGAGAAATATTGATGAAGACAGCAGCCGTGAACAAAAATCGTGCGAATCCTCGATCTCTGTTCGAGGCTGAATGAGAGCAGGCGGTGTGGAGGGATTCGCTTACTTGCATCGTGGGGAAGTCGGCGCGGGGCCCGAACTGGCGGTGCTTTCTCCGGCGCCGGGGGTTTCAGAAGGGCACCCCTGTCTCCGCTCGAGTTGCTCGATTTCTTCATGATGAAGACCAGAACCAGACCCAGCACGAAGGCGGCTCCGACGATGCCTCCGACTATGCCCAAGATGAAGCCCAGCCGGTTATTCGGCTGGCTCTCCTTCCTGGGGGTGGGCATGATGGCCGCAATGGCGCCCTGATTGCAGTAAGAAGTTGGGTGCTGAAGCCTCGAATCCCCAGTGAGCAGACAGTTCCCTGAGTAGAGAACCACCGTGGCGGAGGAATTGGAGAGGATGCATGCAGGAAGCCTCCCCAACAGACGATTGCGGGAGATGTCGATGAAACGGAGGCCGCCCCCGCAGGAGAGCTTTGCTGGTAGAGCACCGGAGAGCAGGTTGCCGGACAAATCCATAGACCTGATCGAGGGGAGGGAGAACAGGAATGGCGGGATCGGGCCGATGAGCTGGTTGGAGGAGACGTCCAGAGTCTGAAGCCTGTCGAAGAACTGCATCTCCGGCGGTATGCCAGCACGGAACGAGTTGTTTCTCAGCACCACGGTGACGACGCTCCTCCCGAGGAGGGGGAACTCGGGGCCCAGGCGGTTCCCACCCAAATTCACCTCCTCTAGCGCCGACAGCGACTGGAGGTCGGGCACCGTGCCGTTGAGCCGATTGCCGGCGAGCACGAGGCTCTGTAGAGTCTCCATGGAGGAGATCTCCCAAGGTATACCCCCAGTGATGAAGTTGGAGCTCAGGTTCAGGACGCGGAGGGACGAGAAGCGGTCGACCTTGGCGGGAAGGGGCCCCCACAGGCCGAGGGATACAAGGGAAAGCACGGTGAGGCTAGGGAGCCTCGACAGAGTGGTGAAGAAGGAGTCGATGTTGAAGTGAGGGGGAAGGTGGGCGACGGCGCCGCCGCCGCCGGTGATGGAGAGCTCGGTGATGCGGTTCTCGGAGCAGACAATGGAGAGGAAGGGGGAGGGCGGGAGATAGCAAGGATTTGTGTAGTTGTTCAACCCGCTGAAGGCGGCAGGGTACTCCAGCATACGCTGCAGGCGGAAGAGCGTCTTGGTCTGCGACGGCGACAGCTGCTGAGCAGACGCAGAGGACAAAAACATGACCAAAAGGACGGCAAAGAGAGGGAGAAGAAACCGCCGCCGCCGCCGCCGCCACCACGAGCCCGCCATCGTCACACACTCCGACGGAGAAATCAAAGGCCCGTCGGATCAAGCTCCGGAGCTTCTCCTTCTGCACGGAAATGCTCTCAAAGGGAAAATCTGCTCTGAAAGATAGATGAACGACGCCGCGAACTGGAAAGCATTAATGGGCCAAGCATTCAATTCTCCCAGAGATGATGTGAATTCCTCCGAGCAGAGGAGACCACCGGAGCCCCGCCGGAGAGGGAGGAAGAGAGAGAATCCAAGGGGACCAAGCAGAAGGAAGCACACCAGAAAGGGACCCCGGGGGGGGGGGGGAGCGAGAGAGAGAGAGAGAGAGAGGTCCTCCACAGTGAGGAAGATGTCACAGCAGAAGAATCCGCGAAGACCATGCCGGAGATAGCGGTAGTGCGTAAACTTTACCGTCATAGCATGTGTTTCGAAAAATATTTGACCATTATACCCCTAATGATTACTGATACACCGCTTCCAACTGATCATGGCTATATCGGAATTCCCCTATTTCTCTCGCGTGAGCCGTACGATGAGCGGATGGGGCCATGAACGGACGAACGATGTGGCGGCGGGATTACGCGCAACAGAACGCTACCGTCACCCTATGTTGCCCCGCCCTTACCCATGGGCGAGGCAACTGGGTGACCCCCGGGGAAGGCGTATGTTCAGCCACCTGGGGGGAGAGAGGGAGGGAGGGGGGGGGGGGAGAGGGGGTCGACTTATCATCGGATAGGGGCCTTCCAACCGATAGGGTAATCGCCGACAGCCATCAATCCGGCCCACGATTTAATCGCCGGATCAAAGCCCGTAAATCCCGGCCCAGTAAATGAAATATTTGTCGGATTAGGTAAGTGAGGGGCGGTGAAATGGCGCAATTAATGGGCTGCAACAGTGGAGCCCACTAAGAAGCCAACCAATAAATGGCCCATCCGGTTAGTTGAATTTTCTAATATGGAACGTTCGGTTGTGGGCCTCGCTGGGTGGGGTAGCGATTCCTTCCGGATTGTCCTTTCTTCCTCGACCAGCTGTCCCACCGCGCGGTGATCTCCGGGCCATGTGGTTCTCCCGACTATTTTTCTCCTGGAATTTTCAGGGTAGAAAATAAAATATTGCGGCTGGTGGGATTATTGTTTTCTGGCCAGGAGAGAGGACTTTCCCGTAAATTGAGTTGAATAATTGTCCAGAGAGGGACAACAACCACATGGTCAACATCGCCCTCTCTCTCTCTCTCCACTGACTAAACTGTCACAGTAATGGCGACCCAAGATCGGCCCACAAAGCCTGCACCGCGGTAGGGGCCTCAGAGTGGGGCCCAGCAGGTCAAGTATTATTTTTTTTTCATTTATTTCGCAACAACAAATCGAAAAAATGGCGACCGTCTAATTGTTAAATACTCAAGCTCCAAAAACCCTGCCAAGCCAAAGACGACCTCACACAGAGACGAGACCACGAACAAGTAGTAGAAGAAGGAAGAGTCTTCTCCAGTCTGTGGCTGGCGATTTCGGAAAAGAAAGCCCTAAAACCTTTCACTGGCGGCGCCGCCACCCGTTCCGTCAAGGGTTCTGCTGGGTCTGCCGGTAGATGTGCAGGACCCAGTCCCCGTAGCTGCTTATGCCGGCGTTCTGGTCCTCGACGAGGTTGGAGAGGAAGAGGGCGCCCTCCCTCGGCTGTTCTCCCTGTCTCACGACGTGGCACAGCTGGTAGCACGAGGGGTCCTTCGCCCTCAGCCTCCCCAGAAGGTCCATTAGGTTTCTGGAGACCTGATTCTCCTGCTCCACGAGATTAACCTGCGACGAACAATGCGGAATGGTTTCACAGATCTCTAAATGCAGGAAATTATTCATAAATAGAACTGATTTCTCCAAGTAGATCAGACCTTCGAGAAGTCCACGAAGCCGGATAAGTCAAAGCCCAGCACGCTCGTCAGAATATCAGATGGTACCATTCTCCCAAACCAAATGACGAAGCGGGAACCATCATCGTGGACGTAGAGACAATTGGGGTCCAAGACATCCTTGGTCAACGGGAAAGGACCCGAGAGATCCTTTAACTGCGATGCCTGCAAAAAATAAATAAATAAATAATAAAGTTCATCAAATAAATGTTCAGAAAAAAGGAAAGTTGACATTGCCTGAGAAATATCCTTCTGAAAATAAAGATGAATGTTCTATGAGCACACGCGTACTTCCTGAAAATGGCATTTTTACACAAAGTCAACGGGGCCATACCTTCAGCAGGGTTTCATCAGCCCTGACCAAGGTGGGATATAGAAGCTTGAGTGTCCGAGATATGGGCAAGATCATCATGTTGTAGCCAGCAGAACAGCGGTCGTCCAGCAGAACATCAGCATACCCTCCTCTAAGAGCAGCCGACTTGCATAGCGCCAAGCCGTATAAGGGTAAGAGCTTCAAGGATTCTGGGTATATGAGCCTGCCACCCAAGCGATGCTGCACGGCGTAGAGGTTACGATACTCCTTGAGGCTCTTTGTGATCCTCATTTGTATGGACTGGCGAACATCTTCCAGCTTATGGGATAGCATCTTCTCGATTGCTGCAAACATGGATGCTCACTGAAGTCAGCTCTGCTACTGCACTTGGGGGCGATCTTAAGTCATAAGAGATGCATCCGAATGTAGAACTCACCGAGTCTGCTCATCAGAGAGATGGTGGCTCCGATGTCAGCCTGACGATACATCTCCCCAAGATCAGTCACAACAGGAGCTGCAGCGGTGTGGACTCTGATGCGTCTTTCACCGGAGGAGGAGGTGTATCTGCCATCTCATTAAGGAGGATTATATATAGCGATTTATTCAATAAAAATAATGGCGATGTGAGTTTATACAGAAATATAAAAAAAATGTTCTGGTGAAATTTAAGAACAAATAAGCGGCAACTAATGCTTTGTTGATCCTTCAGCTTCTAACGAAGACTAAATGAACTGTTGGGGAATCAGTGTTCTAAGCAACAATACGACCACAACTGACAAGTCTTCTACGCTGGAAGCACAGGTTTAAACAGAATTTTGAGCTGAAATTTATCTCAAAAACTCATTCAAGATCAACTCTAAGCTGCGAAGCATGCGAGATAACTATTAACTTATCTAGTTCAGGAATTTACATCTGAGAAGGGGCAGCAAGATATTGAAGAAACTAATTTTTTGGCATATGACGACATCTTCTTTTACTATCTAAATTATATTATTTTTTTGGCATATTCCCCTCCCCCCTCTCCCACCTTCCAGAACGGCAGAAGCATATCCAATTCAATGGAAAATCACAAGTAGACAATTAAGAATTGGAGAGATACCAAAACAAAGGTTCAAAAAGACCCACATTAGAAAAAACAAATAAAATTAACAGTGAACCTATTAGTTATGCCCAACGATTTTCACTAACATGTTTTCTTATCTATATCATTCCACTTCAAAAGAAAGTGAACTGGGGGAAGAACAGAAATAAGCCCAAACGCATGGGTTCTCCATGTCCTGCCCAATTACCCTGCATTCATTCAAAGAGCGAACCCCGCAGAAAGCAAGCAAATGGCTTAGGACAGGAAGTTAATATTGGCAGGGAATCATACAGAATAAGTTAATGCAAATGTAAGCAAACTCTTATGCAAGAATTTGGTGAAGGATACAGCAATGCAACTTGGAAATAAACAGTCTGGGTTGTCATCAATGTATCTTCCAGTGATAATTGCATTCCAAAGGCCTTATCACAGTCCACAGATGGAAGTGCCAATAAATCTGTTGACCTTAGCATAAAGTTCCCATGATAACTAGTGAAGCGCACACCTGAAATGAATAAAATGTGAGCATTCAAATTAATTCTCACTCAGAAAAAAAAGTCATGTAAGATATTTGAGTTGGATATTAAACACATACCTTTTCCGCATCTAACGCGCATCACAGCTTCCCAAGCAGTCTCCCTAGTAAGATTCCGCGACAAATCAAATCTAAGCTTTTCATGATGAATTTCCCCACGGAAAGATGGATAATAGTATAACTGACCACCAGTATATTTGGAAAGAATTCCTGTCAAATTTCAAAAACTAAGGTCAATCTGGCAACTGTTAACAAGAAAAGGCTTACTTGCTATAAACAAGGATGGAGCCGCACCTAAGGAAGCTACATCGCAGTACTTGTCGCTGGAAGCATAAATATCAACGCCTATTTGGTACTTGGTAAACTCTGCTGCCATTTGCTTGTAAAATGGATCTTCGGGTATTCGTAGTAAATGTTCTCTATCAGTTCCATATATGCGAAGATCATCTCCACGTAGCTTGAGGCGCCCAACACCAAGGGAAGGTAAGGTAGACTGGAAAACTATCAACTTCCCACCGAGTTGGCTCTATTAAGAAAAAAGAAAAAAATTAAAGAGCATCTAAGCTAATCAAAAATTCTGAACTGAAAGCCCCCAACTAGAACTACAAACAAAATACAAATGCATCAGGAATATATTAAATACTTATTTAGTACTCCATCATACCATAACCATGAATGCTGCTCTGAGAGCTGGACCAAGCGCAGACTCTACGTTTACATTTTCTTGAAACATAGTATGCAAGCTATCCAAAAATGCATCCACAACATTTCTTGACTCAGATAAGTTCACAAGAAGATCATCCGGCAGTGGAACAAATATATCATCGAGATCTGCTACCACCATCATTTGAGGCTGCGTCAAAGATGACTGCGAAAAACATACAATCAAGAATAAGATACTCTGTGAAACAGGTTCAAAAAAGGATGGGCTTAACATTATAGAACAGTAAAGCACTCATATCCTACCCATTCAAAGGTAATGTGAAGATAAATTTAGATGATCAACTCTGACAAATAATTAAGAACATGGGGATAAAAGTGCACAGATACCTTCAGATTATAAAAATGCAACGTGCTGTCAAATGTTATGAACCCAATCTGCGTCCTCGGAGAGCCAGGCAGCTCATCCAAGCGAGACTTGATGGTATTAGCTACAATCTGCCGCAAGATGTCCAAACCGAATCAGCAATAGCAATGGAAACTGTCACAAGACCAGGGAATGCTCTAGACCAAAAATATAACGAAATCAACGGAGCTTGTGCACAAAAAGGAGGCATATTCCTCAAAGATGTATGCGTGATTACCTCAAGCATCCCACTTCTAACTGCAAACGCTGAAACGTCTATGAGAAAAAAATAGAGTGGCGGCATTGGAGGCCGCACCATATACTCAGTTGGGGCAACAATCTCTATACTTCCCTTTGTAAGCTCCGGTCTTTGGTCCAAATCACATCTCCTACCGCTTACATCCAAGGTACAGAAATACTCTGGTGGAACTGAAAGCACAGGACGAGATGTATGAATATGAGTCTAAAAGTACTTTTGACTGTAAATGAATCTGTAAGGGAACAAATGAACAACTCGCAAAAAAATGACATCGGTTCCATTCTTTCAACTAGACACGTGTAAAGCATCTCTCCTGATTAAAAATAAGAATAATTAAACTACAATGTCATGAAATCCTGGTGAGCAGGTCTTGATACTCACTAACCAAGTGATTCGCTAAATTACATAAAGTTGATACAATTAACTCATTTTAGTTCACTCGTCTCGCAATCCTCAATTTTTCACCCTTTACATTGTTTTTCCTGCATGCATAGTCGTCAAGTTTACAAGGGATGATCAAACCGCTTAGAACGTCTAAAAGACAGAGATAGGGCATTTGCTTTGAGAAGTGAAAACAGAGAAAATTATGCTATCTCCTGCTCCCAATCAAGTAATGACTACCGAAATCAAATAAAAAAATATCCTTCTCCTCATGATGACCAAAGAAAATTAGTTCCATGCGGATATACACCCACAGGCAATAGAAATTATTTGCAAATGACACTAAGAATGCCAGTCGTTAAAACTTGTCCAGACAGCCAATTTATTTGAAAATAGTATGTCAATACCACTCTAAATTACCACCACAGATGGTGAGGCAACTAAGGCGAGTAAAGCAGTGACTTACTACCGTGCTTCCTAGATCATAAATATGCTGGCGTTGCAAAGTCTAGCTTACTTGAGAACTTAATGGTAAGCAAGTAACTCTTTCGTACACCTGGCCGATTTCTTCATAGATTAATTTTTCTAATGACATTTACGAAAAGGCTTGCAAATCGATAAAATGAAAATAAAAGCTCCTTCTTTGTAAAATATTATCAAACAGTTTAAACCTATCATTGATATCGATATGACAAGTCTCATAACTTTCAGACAGAACATTGAGAGGTAATTTTATTGAGAGAAAAAAGTTTCTTTATGAATTGATAACAGTGTTGGTTTTCTCCTGTTAATCATAGTTCTATGCTATTTGTTGATGTCTATAACACAACAGCTCAAAGATCAGGTAAAACTTATTCCCATTCAAGATATTATCATTGACATCCCTAATTTAGTACATAACTTTTGGTGGTTAAAAACATATTTCAGTCACGTATAATTTATATATTATATTATAAATAGAGTACTTGTTAAGACGTTCAAGAGAGAATATTGTAGGTAACCAAGATGAGCATCGTTTATGTCCGTTTGCAAACTCCTCTACAATACCCTGTTGCCTATGCTAACTCGATATGATTCAAAGAAAAGTGTACCTTGACCTAAAATTAATCCATAATGGCAGAGTGTGACTCGTTATTGCATGAGAAATACGTGAGCACCTCACCAGCGGGAGCAACCAACAGTTCCACATCTCAGGACCTTGCAGCAGTTAAGGAACATTTAAGCCCCTTCCTGAGTGACAGCAAGCCTCCCATGCGGTTCCTTCAGAAGGAGACCCATATTGGCTGAGGATGTCGGTGGGATTACCATTACATCTGAGAAAATATTTTTCCGCAAAGCCACCGCATATCTTCAAGTGAATACAGTGCATTAAGTCAAAGTCACAGTATACGTATAACCCGACCAGACATGGCAGCAACGAGTCTAACATCATTATTCCCAGTAGGTCAACCAGAAGCAGGTGCTTGGATGTGCAGGCGGACAGGGACATCACCATGGTTCCAGAGCTCTGTCAAAACCATCATCCTCCTCCATCACACCACATTCCCACCTCTCTCTCTCTCTCTCTCTCTCTGTGACTCCTAGTGACGGCCTAGATGAGACAACAACACCTTTCTCTCAATACCCTTCTTTTTCTGTCATTCTCCTACTGAAGAATACTCCTCTTTCCCTATATTACACTCTTACTCTCTCTCATATTTTATTGACGCAAATTATATTCCGTCAAAACACTGCAAGAGAGGTCACTGAGAAGGAACTCCTCTCATTCTTGCCCAGACTGAAGAAGGTTTTGTGAATGGAAAGACTCCAAGGACAGTAATGGGTAACCAGGGGTGGACTTTTATCTCCCCAACCCGACCAGCAGAAGCCCCCTAGGAAATTTGCGGTGCTAGGCACATACCGGGTTTTACTCAGTTCACAGAACCTAGGATTGAAGAGCGCCATATCTGCACATGCCAGCGTCCATTATTGCACCCATAAAAATAGTCAGGATAGTGTGCGGGGTAGGTTAGTTAACCACTGCGCACAACTGAAGAGGTTGTGCATCGTGACAAGCTCTGAACTCAAAATAAGATGATTGGGGGGGTTTCTAAATGCTAAACGATGGTTAACCTCACGCAAACCAATGAAATAAAAAACCATCAGTCCATGTGACCATCCAAGTCAATAGTGCAACCAATTGCCTTGTGTTGATAACATGAGTATATGTTACCATAAAAATAAAAATCTAAGATTCAACATAAGATCCAACCATCATCGAGCAATTAACAGAGATCGAAATGTTGGTTCCTTCCACCGTTTCACAAAAAAAATTCAAAAGAAGAAAGAATTAATATAAGATCCTACCATCGTTGAGCAAGGCACAGAGGTTACAACGCCACTTTCTTCCACTGTCTGTGAACGTTGCATATGGATTAATGTACGTGCGGCATCTTCTACAACGAACGACACCTGCTGATCCAAAATTGACGATCGGTACTTGTTCCTGAAAAGAAAGTAAAGTTCTTGATCATATGTACCTCACAAAAAGGCAAAGCTTAGCTTATGACAAAAACAATAATCATTAAGAAATGTCTACCCACTGCTGTGTGCATAGTGTAACTTACCCCATCGGGAGATTCTGCAAGGGGATGCACAACAGCACCAAGGGGCAAATGCCATCTAGAGAGTAACGATTGAGAATTCGGAATTGCATGAGTTGTCAACCTTAAGTATTTTGGATGGCAATTCAGAGGGTGTGTATCAGCAACTGAAGTTGATTCTACATCACTATCTAATGGCCTAGGTAATGATTTTAAGTCAATCCCTGCATCAATGGAGCCTGGAGTTGACCCAATGGACATTGATTGGAACTCCTCGAACAAATTTTGAAGTGCTCCACTAGTAGGAGGTGCTGAGCCAAATTGCTGCATCTGTGCTCTTGCACCAGCACCTTGGGGGACTGAGACTGGTGGAGGAGGTGCAAATCCTCCTTGGTGTGCATGAAAGGGAGGATGCACTGGGGGTGTGGAAACATGGGCTAGGGGGCTTGGCTGTAGATGTGGCTGCAGACCAGGTCTTGCAGTTGCAAATGATGACTCTATTTGCTGTAAAGGCACGCTACCTCTAGGAGGCATGTTTGAGTAGGGAGGCATATGAGTCTGTGGAGGTCCAGACAATGGGAATTTGGACGGCAATGTTGGTGGGGGTATGAGTGGAGGACCCATTGGAACCGACGGGGGACGAGTTCCAATTGGAGGTGGAATTTGTGCCCCTACAAATGATCCTCCCTGCGGAACCTGAGCAGCGGGGGGGAATGATGGAGGTGGAAATCTTGGATATGCCCCTGTAGTTTTTGAGGGATAAGATGATGCCTGGAGAGGACTAGAGGGACCACTAATCTGACCTGGGGATACAGCTCCAGAGATAGTTGCCTCTGAAGCAGCCACTGGTCTGGAAGGTGCATAGGCCATCATGTTTTGCAGAGGATAGGCTGCTCCAGGACCAGGCGTAGCCATGGATGGCTGATAAGGCAATGAAGTGCGAGGAGCATTAGAGGTATCTTGGCCAACGATGGGTCCTGAGGAAGCAAAGGGTGTCATATTTCGTGGAGGAGGAGCAGCAAATGGAGAAACAGGTCTACCAGGGTAGTTGGGCAACCCCTGCTTATCACTGCCTGAAGGTTGCATATTCACTTGGTCTTGTTTGAATGGCTATAATAGCATGTAATCTGCGTCAAAGAACATAAAGAGGTTATAAAGTTAAGTAATAGTATAAAGAACCGGATAATATAAATAAATGAACAACCATAAAAAAGTTTATCCAAAAGACAACTCAGTAAAAGAAGTTCCTTAAATTGCATGGGCAGCTATAGTGTTCTGCTGGATCAAACAAAAATGAAGACTAGAATAAACGATATCCACCAAATCATATTATCAGTGGAAATTAGAGATCTAGGCCCTGAAACCACTGTAGAACACATGAATAATCATCCTGTGAAGGAGTTATCAGCTCACTTCAAACACATGAATCATCATCATACAGTAGCTCGGTGAGATCACTACAGCGAACTAAATCGAACCATTTGACGATATTATGGGAGTAATCATGCTGATGGGTTACACTATTTTATAAGGGAGGAAATTCAGCCATTTTAATGGTTTTGGTTGAGTTGGAAATGCCTAAAAGTTTGCTCATCAAAATTCAGTAAAGCAGAACATATTGTATGGGATAGTCCGATTGGATATGGGTATTCTCTAACATGTTTTGGTAAAAATGGCTGCGTCAAATCACACAATTGTCAGTTGTTTTTAATTCTAGCCCCAGCACCGGATTTCCTGCTTATGAACTCAGAGGCATCCAGTGCAATCAATAGGAACCATTGTAACAATTCCTGGTGCTAACTTTGTCGTTGACCTGATTAACAAACCGCGTTTAAGGCATTTACAATATCCTCAGTGAGAATCCAAAGTAAAACATCACTTGATAACTAGCAGCTCTCCCCATACACGAGAGATCATTCCTCTTTCTTCACAGGAACTACAGAGGATCTATAAAATGGGGAGTTTGCGGGAGTATCGATTATCCATCAACGGTCTCGTTCCAGACGATCCAAACTCAAGCAGGCCGGGTTCTGTAGAGGGATAGCTAGAAACAAATAGATCGAATCATGCGCACTCGAAGATTCAATAATTTTCCAAGCCCCTACCCCCTTTCCTTCCCTAGGAACTGTCCCCAGTGAAGGCCCGCGAGAACAAGCGAAAAAAATTATTTACGAGATACAAAGAAGACAAAAAAGATGAAGCAACACATAGATCGCATTGCTCTCCCAGGGAACTGAATATGGTGACTACAAAGGGACCTTTTCTTGAGGAAATTGCGAGGATTTTCGGCGGCGACTAACCCACCGTGGATCCGGACAGAATTCGTGCCCATTTTCACGTATGTCGCCCCCCATAACCTCTACCGAAAAGCTCCGTCGGAAGAAGGAGGGGGGAAATGGAAACGAAATCCGACAAGGGATCGTTTGATCTTACCGACGACTGGACGCAGATGCCCGGCGGTGGATGGCCAAGAGTGTCCCAGCGATCTGGGGGCGTCGTCACTCCCCCCCAGGATAACGACGGCGGCGCCACCCCCCCACCCTTCCTTTCCTCCGCGCCCCGGGATTCACCGGCTCTTCCCCCCTTCAACGTGAACTGGTGAGGAATCCAACAGCGAGGCAGCGAGGGTGTAATCGAGCGCATCGGCTCCCTAAAACTCTCTACAGAGAGAGATGTTAGCAGCCTAACCCCCACTCTCTCTCTCTCTCTCTCTCTCTCTCTCTCTCTCTCTCTCTCTCTCGCGCTCTTAAATGGGCCGTAAGCCCAGTCTATCCGTTAAAAAGTGTGGTGAGTGCAATAGCGATAGTTATTCATTAAAAAGTAATAAGAGATTACGAAAATATAGTGAGACAGTACATATATATAGCTAAAAATAGGAATAAAATAATAATAATAAGACAATATAAAATACAAAGTTATTCAACAAACTTTTAAAAAATAAATACACCAACTAAGGATTCCACCCACCATACACCACCCTCCCTTATAGGGGAATGGAGGGATGACCATAGATTGTGAACAATCAATGACTTGAGACCATTCCAAGGGCCAATTGTGCTGCCTTGGATGGCTCAAAAGAGTTACAGATTAACAATCAATTCTTGTCCATTTGTCCAATGGACCCTAATGCAAAAGGCCATAAAGAGTAAAGTTGGCACTAAAGGATAACATCCATCATCGATCTCTTTCTCATAGTTCATCTTTTGCACCACATCAATGGACAAAGTTGTCAGCAAAGAGGGTGAAAGCTAATGTTCTCTATGATGATGATGAGCAAAAATGTTGTTGTCAAGGACTAGTTGAGAACCCAAAAGTTAGATTGCTAGCAACATTTCCTAGGTTGTATCCCATACTAGTGAGGTTGAAGGTCTTTATGGAGTGAGGGAAAGTTGTTGCGACATACATGTCCTCCTCTATCTTATGTAAAATAGTTGAGAGCCCAAAGGAGTGGTTGGCCTAGATGAGGAAGGGGGGGGACTCTATCTAATTATATGAAAATTTATGATTTAGACTCTTTTCATCTAATGTCAACCCAGAAATAAGTTGAAAATACATTGACACATGATTAATTATCAAGCTGCTTCAATTGTGTGCTAATTTGGGTTTGCTCCTGACCCCAGCTAGTCAAAAAGCATCCTTCTATTATTTGCACTAAATTGACAACTAATAGGAATTGCTCAAGAACCATCCTTCTATTATATAACTCTAAAAAGCATCATTCACATTAAGACTCTAACCTTTCATATATATGGGTTGGGCTTATGAGGTTAACAAGATAATTTATATGAGATTAAGTGTCTAATAAGTCATATTATGTCACTAACAAGACTTCATTTTTTTGGACCATATGTTCTTACTGTATTATCATTCTACTTGCACCCATTGTATTGCATTTCTATCATGTCACACCTTTTCTCTATGATTTGTACATTGGTCATGTCATTCATCTTCTATAAGATTACATATGTGGAATCTCACATCACCTAATTAACCATGTGATATTTTACTCATGTTTTAAATTCCAACATCTTCATCAGATGATGGTTCTCTTGATATTATAAGACAAGATCTTCAAATTATCTAAGATCAATGTCATTTTCCTATATTTTATCTTATTCTAATTGACTCATTTGATAAGGACTGCACTTTAGATGTGAGAATGATTCTATCCCTCTACATGAGCCTTGACTATTGGTGAAAATTATTTTAGACGATTTTGTTGTAGGTATTCTTAGTCTACATAATATGATTTAAGAGATATGGAGTATAAAGTGAAACAACTAATTGTCAAGGTAGTTACAAGTGATAGGTCATTTTTTCAAATTTTCACTATGATCATGAATTGTTTATCATATTAAAATATCAATTTGTGGAGAGAAGAGCCTCGTAAGCCCTCAAAATCTAGAGAGCCAAGAAGAAGATGAGTACAAGAGTTTATAGTGGTCTTAATAAGCCCTAATGGGCTAGGTCCATAGTGGGTCAATGCCATAATCTAACACCTCCTCTCAAGCTAGAGCATATAGATCAAACATGTCTAACTTGGTTCCTAGTGAATCATAGGAAATGTTGTCGAGACTCTTAGTGAAGATGTTGGTTAGTTGGTTGGTCGATGACACGTGTGAAGTTATGATGATGCTCTTGAGAACTTTTTCATGAATAATGCGATAATCAATCTCGATGTGTTTAATACATTCGTAGAAGATAAAAATTGTTGCAATGAAGATTGCAACTCAATTGTCGTAGTGCGTAGGCACTAGAAGCAATGTCAAGACCTTCAATTCCTACAAAAGAGATTGGAGTCATACCATCTCATCTATAATATCAGTCGCATAGTATTCTACCTCAGCATTAGTGAGAGACAACTCACTGCTTCTTGGAGCACCAAGTGACTAGGTTGTTGTCAACATATCTGTAGTAATCAATAGTTGACTTCCAATCACCCTTGTCACCAATAAATCTAACATCAAAGTAGGCCTCAATCTTGAGATGTCCATGGTGTTCATAGAGAAGCCTCTTTCTTGGTGCATGTTTAATGTATGTAAGAACCTGAAGTGCTCCTTCCATATGTATCTCCCGAGATTTCTGCATGAATTAGTTGAGAATCTCAACTACATAAGATATGTATGGACAAGTAACAATAAGATATAGTAATTTCTCAAGAAAACAACAATATTGTTTGATGTTCTTCAATTTGGGAGAAACATCCTCTCATAATTTAGGCCGAGCCTCCATCAACAATGAAGAAAATTTACACCTCAATAGCCATGTCTCTTAAAGAAGGTCCAACATATATTTTCTTTGAGGAAAAATAATTTTCTCTTGACGATAAGCAAACTCAATCCCTAAAAGATATTGTAGGTAGTCTTACACATCACAATTAAATTAGTCATGTACGGAACAAAACCAAAAGTAGTAATAAAATGCATGAACTTGTCAGACCAAGTGTAGGGACTATGTTTGAGCCCATAGATAGCCCACTAAAATAGACACTTGATAAGTCTCTCTCTAAACTACATACCCTGGAGGTTGCTCAATGAATATTTACTCATCAAGATCACTATAAAGGAAGGCATTGTAAATATTCAACTGATGAAGAGACCACGTATGATTGACTATTAGAGAGAGAAGTACATGAATTGAGTTGAGACGAACTACGAGAGAGAAGGTTTTCATGTAATTGATGACATAGACTTAAGTGAATTCACAAACAATGAGACGTGCTTTATGATGAGTAATAGAGTCATCGGAGTTGTACTTGAGAGAGTACACTCATTTGCAAGTCACTTTGTTGGTGTTAGTTAGACAAAGAATGAGATTTCAAGTGATGTGTGGCGTGACTTAGTCATTGTATAATAAATTATGTAAATTTATAATTTATAAAACTAGAAAATATTAATTTTTAGATATTTAGAAGTATTTCTAAACAAATATATCAATTATCATTCAATAAAATTTCCAAAAAATAATGATAATTTTTCAGATCAATCACAAAGATATAATAATATTGAGTAATTTTTCAAAGTTTTTTTCAAAAAATATAATTTTATATAAATTTTATACTAAAAAATAAAAATAAAATATATTTA